CCTTTCTCCTTTCCTCAGGCTATAAGCATGTGAAAGTTACTTTTAGGGGACAGCGGTTGGATCAGGGATCCCTGCTTGAGGTTGAATAGTATATTACAGAAGATATATAATGAAGAGTGCATTCAGAGTTGAGGGGCCAAAAAATTGATAACCAATACACCATATATTGGGATAATTGTATAACTTTTTAAATGCTAATCTGGAATTATAGGAATATATTTATTTGATGTATTTTGAGTCATATTCCTGAGCTAAGACCAATTAGATCATGAACATTTTGGGATTAAAATATGGCCAAACTTGCCTTCCTAATATTTTACTTGAATTTTAAATTCTTGTTTATAATGAGATTGGTCTACAACCTTCTTGCACTGACTTTGGTCTTGATATCACAAAAATAAGTGTCATAGCTCTCTTCCTATTTTCTGAAATGCTTTGAGAAAAGCATTATTATTCATTAAAGGTCTGATAAAATTTACCTACAAAATAATCTGGGCCTATCTTTTGTAGAGGAGGCTATATTTGTTCTTACTGGTTTTATCATGAATAATTTCAAAGATATATAATGCCGCAGTCTGGCTGGGCACAAAATAACTGAGCCGCCACAAGGCACTTGTAGATTCAAACAGGAACTCCTTTATTGCCGGAACTCCCGGGAAAGTCACCCACGCGGCCTTTCCAGGAACACCATTCCAACCGGAACTCCCTCCCCTGGAACTTCCTTCGCCCTCCACCGGGCTCCACGAGAACTCAAATGGCACCCAAGGCAGCAGGAGCCGTCCTATTGCCAGACAGCAGGGGTCCATATACAACTGAATACACAGCCTGTTTCAATCCAGCATCATCCAGTCATAGCAATTATACACAGCTTAACCTAATTATCATCATCCTAATGGCTCGCTGGCATCACCTCTCAACCACTCCTTCTGGTAATATACCAGGCGCCATTCCAACTTGGCTGTGGCTCTCAACAATATAAAAATAGAGAACATAGCTAAATAACCCCCCCCCCTTTTTTTTAATCACCTAGAGGCAACAATTAAGATTTTTGACACATTTATTTCACTCGATGTCTATTTTAAAATTTATTTTATTTTTATTTTCTATTTTTTGGGGCTGGCATTGAATCCAGGAGTGCCTAACCACTGAACTACATTCCCAGCTCTTCTTGTTTTTCATCTTAAGACAAGGTCTTGCTAAGTTGCTTAGAGCCTTGATAATTTGCTGAGGCTGGCTTCAAACTTGCAATTCTCCTGCCTCAGACTCCCAGGTCACTAGGATTTTAGGCTTGCACCATCATGCCTGGCTATTTTATTTTTCTTTTATGAAGAATTTTAAAGCAAATACCAGATATCGGGTTTTCATCCCTACGTACTTCATTAAGCATCTCTAAAAAAAAAAAAGGATATTTTCTTATACATCCAAATTTCATTATTCTTGGGTGCAGAGCAGGCTGAACTGTGTTGTCTGCAGGGCAGGCTGAACAGATGTTGGCTGCAAGATAGCCCACGCACTCAACCCCCCCTCTATCTGGTCCTTTATCACCTGTTTGCCTCAAGTCTGAACATTCAACCCTGCTTAAGACTGAACACTTAACCCACCCCCCCCCCCCTTGGGCCAACAAGGCAGCTTGCAGACCCAGAGGCCCCATTAGATTTGGGCTATAAAAACTCCCTCCTGCCAGGCCCCCCTCTCTCTTGCTCTCTCTCTTGCTCTCTCTCTCTTGCTCTTTATCTTTCTTACGCGCGCTCTCTGTCTCTCTCTTGCTCTTGCTCTCTCCCTGTTCATCTCTTCTCTTTTCTCTCTCTCTTTCCTTCTTTCCTTTCTCTTTGTTGCACTGCTGCAATAAAGATCTTTTGGTTGCTCCGAGTGTTGTGGTCACTTTCCTTTCAATTATGACATTTAACACGTTAAATATATTGGTCTTATTTCTAGAAGACAATTAAATTTCCCATTTGATTGTCTCAAAATGTCTCCCACATTTGTTTGGAGAAAAATTTGAGATTATTAGATCAATTTCTGCAATGATTATTGATTTATTCAGAACTTTTCTTTCTTCTGAGTCAGTTTTAGTCATTTCCATCTTTAGAAAATTATTTATTTCATCTATTTCACCAATAGCATTCTTGATTAATTTGCCTGAATTATGAATTCACAATTAATTATGAATAATGAATTCATAATTCCAACTATTGATGTGATTTCTCTCTCAAGTGCTAGATACCCAGAATCAGTACCTGAAAATTCTCACTACCAAGAGTTTTCCTTCATGGTAATTGTGGGCAAATTAAGCCTAAGTTTGTAAATTCCTTAGATACCAATTTCTACCACTTTAGGGATGAGGGAGGAGGAGTTGGTCCTTTTGTGGATTCCAGTCCAGGCCTGTCTTGTTCCAGGAATTTCTTCAACTTAACATCACACCAAATAACATATTTTATCTTCAAATCATCTAAAATGTTATTTCTTCTCACAGGGCATAATTAAAAAAATCTGAGTATGGCAGAACCTTAGATGTGATTTCACTTATTTTACAGGTAAAGAAACTGAACTCCAAAGAGATCAAAGTCATTTGTCCCAGGTCAAATAATCAATAGTATCAATAGTAGGAAGGAGACTTTATAAATGTTGAGAAAAGAATGAATTCCAGGAAGCTGTCTGTAATCCCAGTAACTCAGGAGGCTGGGGCAGGAGGATCTCAAGTTCAAGGTCAGGCTCTGAAATTTGGCAAGACTTTCAGCAATTTAGCAAGACCCTAGCTTAAATAAAGGGGCAGGGGAAGGAGAGAGAGAAAAGGTCCAGTTCCAATATCCCCTTCAAGGATATGCTCCAAAAGACCTAACTCCCTTCCATTAAGTCCCACTTTGCAATAGCACCACAGACGAGCAATCAAACCTTCAACACATGACCTTTGAGGGACATTTAAGGTCCAAATTAAAGAGATCCTGACTCTAAATTAAATATATAAAAATGTGGCTCAGTAGTTAAGTGCTCCTGTGTTCAATACCTGGTACCAAAAAAATTTTTTTTTAAATAGAATGAGCATATGATCCAGCTATCCCAATTCTGGCATATACCCAAAATATTTGAAAGCAGGGGCTGGAAGAGGTATTTGTACACTCACATTCATAGTAGCACTAATCACAACACCCCCAAAAAATAGAAGTAACCCAAGTATCCTTCAATGTCGATAAACAAATTTGGTATATAAACACAATAACTTCAAAAACTGGAATTTTTACATGTAGCAACATATACGAAATTTGAAGACGTTTTGCTAAATGAAATCAGCCAGTCACAAAAGAAAAGTGCTGTATGATTCTACTCATTTGAGGTAATTACAGTAGTCAAATTTATACAGACAGAAAATAGAAGGGTGTTTGCAAGGAGCTGGGGAGGGGGAGGTGTTTAATGGTACAGAGCTTCAGTTCTGCAACGTGGTGGTAGTAATGGTTGCACACGTGAATGTACTTAACACCACTGAATTATACACTTAAAAATGGTTAAAATGCTAAAATTTCTGTAATGCATACTTTACAATTTTAAAAAGCAATTTTACAAAAATAACGTGACACTGATATAGACACATGAATCTATGGAAGAGTCAAGAAATAGATACACCACAAGTCAAGGTGTTCAATGTATAAATAAAATTCAATGTATAAATAAAAGAAAGCTTTTTCTTTTCTTTTGGTACTGGGGATTGAACCCAGGGACGCTTTGCCATTAAGTTACATTCCAGCCTTTTTTTGAGACAGGATCTCACTAAATTTCTAAGATGGCTTCAAACTTGCAATCCTCCTGCCTCAACCTCCCAAGTGGTAGGGATTAAAAAATATAGCCCTTTCAATAAATGTATATCCCTCCAGGAAAATGTGAACTCCAACTCCTACCTGACACCATAAACAAAGATTAATTCTGAGGAATGGGTATGGGACTCAGTGGAAGAGTGCTTGCACAGCATGCGTGTGGTACTGGGATTGATCCTCAGTACCCAAACAAAAAATTCCAGCCGGGCACAGCGGCACATGCCTGTAATTCCAACCACTGGGGAGGATGAGGCAGGAGGAGGATCGCCAAGTTCCAGACTAGCCTTGGCAACTTAGTGAGACCCTGTTTTAAAATTAAAAAATGAAAAGGGGTGGGAATAAAGCGTCCCTGGGTTTAAATCTCAGTACCGGGGTCGGGTAGGGGTGGGGTGGGGAGGCAGCAGGCTTAAATAAAAAGTAAAACTGAAATTTCCACATGAAAACAGGAGAAAATAATCTTCGTAAACTTGGGACAGTCAGAATTCTGAGCACAGAAAGAGCACAAACAACAAAAGAAAAGCAACTAAACTAAAAGCTTAAAGTCAAAATAATGAAAGATCAAGACCCACACTGGGAGAAAGTATTAGCAATCATATGTCTAACAAGATTTGTATCTGGAACATACATATATCCACCTGATAAAACATTTGTGTTCAGAATTCTTATACTCAATAGGAAGACGAAGAGAGAGATTTTAAAAAAATGGGCAAAAGACTGGAATTGACCATTCACAAAAGCTGCAGAATTCTCAGTGAGCGTACGGCCAGAAACTACCCCCGACAGGGCAGAAACGGACGCACTCCTCAGTTGAAAGGCCTTTAAAGTGGGCCGGTCGACCTAACAGTACCATATAGTCATAACCACTACTCGCGAAAAAAGAAAACAGGCCACAATGCCACCTGCTTCATTAAACTTCATCGATTTTCTCCGCACAATCACAGAACTCTACCACCAGGAAGTCTCGCGATGTTAGGGAAAGCGCAGCCGCTCCCCAGAGTAAGAAGCAGTAAAGGGCGCAGGCGCGTCCAAGCCTCCCAGATTGCCCGACTGGTTCCAAAGGGTGGGGCAGAAAGGATCCACGCAGATACTGGAGAGCCCACTAGAGCCTTCCGAAGCGCTCCCGCCACGCCCAGTACGGAACCGCCTCCGGCTGCCCAGTACGGTTATCCACCCACTTCTCGCGGTATTTTTTCCGTTTCTCGCGGGGTTTGGCGTGGCACTGGGAGGCCGGCCCGGGGTAGGAGGCGGCGTTTCGTTAGTGGCGTTGGGGTCTGGTGGCGGCGGCAGTATTTTCTCCTTTGCTGACGCGGAGTGGTTCAGCCTGGAGCCAGCCAGGTGACGAGCCTAAGTGCGCGCTCCTGGGAACTGGGAGGCTGGGGCTGGAGGGCCGATCTGGCCTCCCGCGCTGTCGCGACCGGCCCGCGCGAGGCGACCGTGGCGCGGCTCCGCCCCGCCCCGGCGCCCGCCCTGACTGCTCTCCTCCCCTCTCTCCAGCTCTCGCCGCCGCCGTCGTGATGGGGGCTCAGGACCGGCCGCAGTGCCACTTCGACATCGAGATCAACCGTGAGCCGGGTGAGCCGGCCGCCGTGGCCTTGCTGGCTAGCGCAAGGGGAGGGTCAGCCTCACCAGCCCTCGCCCAGGCCTTTTGGGGAGCGGGGAGACGCAATCAACTTTCCCTTTTCTCTTGCAAGAAAATGAAAGGAGAGGAGTCTAGCCCCGCTCAACACCAGCCTCCAGCTCGGAGTTCGGGCCTCTTTCTCCTAAACCCCACGCCCCCTGCTCCTCCGGATCTAGTCCTCATACCCAGCCTGCCGCCCAAAATAGAAAATTTCTGCTTCCAAGTGACTCCAGGGGGCAAGCCTTGCAGATTCCGATTTGGGGTAGTTTGCTCTGTACTCCGAAGTTTGGACTCTTTTTATTCTGTATTACCTAGCCACTATATATCATTAATTCGTTAACTCCCCTTCTATTTCCCTTTAAGAATCTTTATACCTAGAGTTTCTTAGTTTCTGGAAAGATGGCTCAGGGATCGTTTTGTGTGATAAGCCAGCGAAATTGCAGCATGGAGGCGCTTAGCATTAATATTTTTTGTCTTTAGGAATACACTCATTCATTAGGTTTTTCTTTTTTAAAGTATTTTCGTTTAAAAGGTAGTCAGTTTCATTCTAAGTAGCAGAGCGTGCAGGGTTCTAAACCGTTTTCTTAGCTCTTTTTGGTATCTGCCAGGTTTTGATTGGAGGCATGTATGCCATCGTTGTGCAACATCTTGTTCTGCACATTCTTATGAGACCCTGTTCCTGTTCTAGACTATTGAGAGATAGCAGTGAATAAAACAAAGGCATTTTCTTTTGTAGTTTGTTTTCTGTTGAGGTCAGAGACAATGAACTAGGGAGAAGATACAGTGACTAGTAAAAGGGTACTGAGATGTGAGATAAGGCCATTTTGGGAAGATAACATTTAAACAGATGAGGAAGTGAACCATCTGGATATCTTTAAGAAGAGCATTCCTGGTAGAGGGAAACAGTTAACAGGCCCTGAGGAGGAGTGTACTTGGCCTTTTAAAGGAATAGCAAGGAGCTCAGTGTGACTGGAGTATAGGGAAGAGTTAGTAGGAAAAGACCTGTAGGACTTTAACACTGTGAGATGGGAAGATTAAAAGTTTGGAGCAAAGGAATAAGCTCAGAAATTTTGTTATCCCCTCCCCTTGCTAGGGATGGAACCCAGGGCCATCCTATGCATACTAGGCAAGAGCTCTACCACTTACCTACACCCCCAGCCCTACTTCTCTTTTTCTTTTCAAATATTTTGAGCCTTGCAGGATCTTTTTTTTTGGAAGGGGGGATCTTAATCCTTGTTTATAGTGAATCCATGCTCCAGGTAACTGCTCTTTTTTAAGAATTAAAAATAGCAGAACTCTGGGGCTGGAGTTGTGGCTCAGTGGTAGAGCTCTTGCCTGGCATATGTGAGGCACCACATATAAATAAATAAATATTTCTTCTTGAGTGAGTTTTAGTAGTTTGTGGCTTTTAAGAAATTGGTGCATTTTATCTAAGTTGTTGAATTTATGTCCATAGTGTCCATAGAGTGGTTCTCCACAGCTGTACTGATATTTCCTTTTTCATTCTTAATATTGATAATTTGTACATGTTTTGTCTTTTATCCTTGTTAATTTGCCTAGAACTTACCATTTTTATATTCAGATTTTGATTTTAAAATTTTTTGTGTATTTCAATTTCATCAAATTCTGTTTTTTATCATTTCCTTTCTAATGCTTACTTTATTTTGTTTTTTTTTTCTAGTTTAAGTGAAAACTTAGATCATTGACTTGATACTTTGCATTCTAATATAAACATTTAATTATACAATTATAGAAGAAAATTTAGATGCAACCCACAAGTTTTGATATGTTCTTTGATACTTAGTCTTTGACTAACGAATTATAAAGAAGTGTTTTAATTTCTTTTCTTTTTGCTACTAGGGACTGAACCCAAGGGTGCTCTACCACCCAGCTACATCCCCAGCTTGTTTTTTATTTAGAAACAGGGTCTTGCTAAGTTGCTGAAGCCACCCTCAAACTTGTGATGCCTCAGCCTGCCAAGTCACTGGGATTACAGGCATCTACCATAATGAAAGGGTCATTTCTTTAAAGAACTTTGACTTTGGAATTTCTTTTCTTTATATAGGTCTGAGAGTAATATCATAATTTCCTCAAAGTTTATCAAAATAGATGAAAATGGGAAGACAGTTGAATATAGTTTTTACTTTACTAAGATTCACAGACTCAAAATGTGCCCTTAGTAAACATTGTAAAGTATTTGGAAATGATTCCAAGAAATTGGTTTTAAAAGGTAATGTAGTAGTCAGGAATGTTTTAGTACCACTTGTGTTTGACTTGGTTGAGCCAGTTAACCTCCTTGTAAAATGGAAGTACTATATACTTTTGTCTTCATTGATTCTAAAGATAGCAGTAGGGCAGTTTACAATTACCCTTTAACCTTTAGACTCACATTCAAAATAGTTAAGATTTTGTAGGAGGCTTATAGGATCTGATTTGTACCAAAGGAACAAGAGAAATGCATTTCCCTGCCCAAACTTACCTTGTGTTATAAGTTTATGAATAGTGGATGTGATGACTTGTATTATTATATTTAAATGACCTCCCACTGTTCTATATGCTCATGAGTTAAATAGAATTTCTATGTAATAATAGTGCCTATATAATTAAGTTGTTGAGAAGAGTTATTAAATAATAGCCACCTGTCTTATAGATTGAGGTTTTTTTCTTTTAAATGGGATTTATTAACTAATGAGCACAATTTTAATTAAGCAAATTATTATATGTTATAACATAATCAGATATCCATATGGGATACTAATGGCATGAGAAGAGAAGGGCAGTTGGACAGCACTTCATTCTTACCCATACAGTAATTTGAAGGCCACTATGCTTGCTAATGACCATGAGGGGAAAGGAGGCACACACAAGTGAGATGCAGTCAATTGTAGGACTTTCCTAGTAGTGTTCAGATTTTATAACATACACCTGAAACATTCCTTTATTACTGATATTCCTAATAAGAAATAATTCTTACTGTAACTTGAAATTCCCTTGTCTTCCCCAACTTCCATTTTCCCATGGATATACTCAATTGTATATATGATTTTTGATAATGCAGCATTTCTTAAAATTCTGATTTCATATTCTTGCAGAGATACTGTTTGTGTGAAGTACCTAAGCACAATATCTGATTTTTTTTTTTAAAGTTTTTTGACTTTTTTCCAAAAGTTGCTTCAATTATTGCATATTCACTAAGTCAGTGAAGGGCTTTTCTATGCAGTTAGACCCTTGTTAATTAAGCTGTTTCTTCACGTTAAGCAGAGGCTTGTTTTAGGTTTCTGTAAGAGTTTTAAATTTTTTTATTTTTTTAAAGAATCTGGCTTGGAGAATTCCAGTAATGACACCAGACTTGTTGAGATGGGTGTTGTAGGCAAACACATTAGGTTTTTACTGGAATTTTGAAAGGGGAAAGTTTACTTCTTAATACCTTCCTTTTTCTTTCCCCTTTCTTTTTCAAGACTCCAAGTGAAATGTATAGTCAAAGATTTCTCTCCATTTCTACCTTTAATATAAAATGCCTGCTTTTCTTTATTTGACTCCCTGTGCTTTTATTTTTTGACAAAGATTGGTGTTCATCTGTCAGGGTTGTTGCAAAGGGAATTATGGCTTTAGTGATGCAAACTTTCTAATATGGTTCCTTATAGGAATTGTACATCATTTTGTAAGAGTTTGAGGAGAATGAAAACCAAGGTTTGTCTTGTTCTGGAGAGTCTTAAGGCATTCCAGAGTGTACAGTTCAGCCTGAATTCTTGGTAGACCACAGTACTTACACAGATAGTCAGGTGTTTAGCAAATACTTAATCTACTGGGAATAAAAGCAGATTGAAACTAAAAAGATTTCTTTAAATATGCAGAAAGAGATCAGGCTAGAGGGGGAAAGACTTATTACTGACAAAGTTGTCTAGATCTGAGGAATACTTTCAAAATTATGTCAAAACTTGCATTCAAAACCCCTAATTGTGAATGCCTCCTGTGTAAGCCTTGTTACATATAGATCTTGTTACAACAAGATCCCTTGTTACATATAGATATTTTAAGATAATATCTTGACGTTCAAGAGACTAATTGCTACAGAATAAAATCTTAAGTTCCGTTTTTCCACCTTAACTATGTATACTTGCACAATTGAGGCCTGATTCATAATTACGCAGTGTTTATAATCAAACATAAATTAGGTATCATATAACCACTTTTATTAGCTTTGTAGCATAGGAAGGTAGCTGGAGGATAGGGTTGGTTGCTAACATGAAGACGAAATATCAGTGACTTAAACAAGATGCAAGTGTTAACTTTTCTCTGACATAGCACTCACTCAGCATATCAGGGTTGTCGATGGACCCAGACTCTTTGCTTCTTGGTTAATCTTGACATGAAGTAGATAGGTGGTGAATTTTTTGTTGTTGTTGGTTGTTGTTGTTTTTTGGTACCAGGGATTAAACCCAGGGGCTCTTGACCACATCCCCAGCCCTTTTTCTTTTTTATATTTTATTTAGAGACAGGGTCTCATTGAATTACATAGTGCCTTGCTAAGTTGCTAAGGTTGCCTTTTTGAAATCACAGCCCTTCTGCCTCAGCCTCCTGGGCCGCTGGGATTACAGGTGTGGGCCACCTGCCCAACTATGAGGTGGTGTTCTTAATAGAAGATTTCAAGATGGATAAATATAGAAGAAATGGTGGAATCAGAAGAATCATTATTTTGCAACCCCAAGTGTAATCTTTAGTTCAGAAAAGGATCATCAGTGAAAAGCTTTTTTGGAATGTAACACCATTTGGTGAATAGTTGTTTGGAATATAACATGCACATAGGTTGAAAGTATTATCCCACAGAGTAGTTTAAAAATGGTGTGAATACCCTTACAACTAGGATTTGGCTAATATTTTAACATTACATAATGGGTCAGACTGATATGGGCTTTCCTGATGGGGTGCAAAAAAATAGATGGAGATGGGGGACTATTTTAGATTAAGAGTCCAAAGCATGTAAATTAAATTAAAATGTAATGGTTGATCAGAGTGCTGGATTTTAAAAGTAGTTGTATATTTGTCATTGAAGGGGGTGGGGGGGATTGGTGGTAGAGTGCTTTGCTTGCCTGCATACATAAAGGCCTTGGTTTGATCTGTAGCATCCTCCCACAAAAAAAGTATAAATAAATAAAAAGTTAAAAAACCTAGAAGGAACTCAAGTGCTAATCAAGTGAGGGTTGGTTGAAAATTCAGTTTAGCCAAACAATAAAATTCATTCAACCATTTAAAAAAAATGAGAAGGTTAAAACAAAAAGTAAAGAAAAAAGATATAAAGGCCATTGTGGAGGGAGTTGGGTAAATTTGAATGTGGACTACAGTGAGTTTTTTCCTATAGCAATGAATTCTCTAGTCCTCTAACACCAACAGTTCAATTTAATTCTGACGTTCTCTACCTAGAGTTGAAAGACTCATTCCCATAAGACTTCAGATGCTAGTGCCAAGTTCTGGGCAGCACATAGCTTATGGCCAACTAGCTGTAAATCAAGGAATCTTAACAACCCTCTGCTTGGGTTTGATAATCTGCTACAGCAGGTCACAACTCAGCCTACTCCAACAACCAAATAGGTTGTTACTTGTACAACTCAGAAGCAATTTCCAAATAGGAGAGATACATACAGCAAAGTATGGGGGTAGGGAGTGTGTGGACCTTTTATGCCTTCTCTTTGAAGACCTCACTGAACTCACCAAACTGGAAACTCTGCAAACTCTTATTTAGGTGTTTTAATGGAGGTTTCATCAAATAGATCAATAAGTTATTACTTAATCTTGAACCCCTGTCCTTTCTTGATGGTTAGGAGTGGGGCTAAAAGTTCTGGGTCTGTGGCATAATCTTTATGGTAACCAGTCACCCTCCTAATGCTCCTGAAGCTGTGCCAAGAATTGTCTCTATAGACCAAAAGATGTTCCTATCACCCAGAAAATTCCAAGGGATTTTGAAGCTCTTTATCAGAAACTGGAGAGAAAGACCAAATTATGAGGGTTTTAGGAGCACTTGGCCAGGAACCAGGGAAAACCCCAATACTTTATTCCTAATAATGCTACAACATGTGTTAGACTATATTGTGATTAACATTTCTTGGATGTGATTATAGCATTGAGGTTAAGTAGGAGAATACCTTTCTACATTTCTTTCTTTCTTTCACACAATATCTTTATTTCATTTTTATGTGATGCTGAGAATCGAACCTAGTACCCCATGCATGCTAGGCAAGCACTCTACCGCTGAGCCACAACCCCAGCCCAAGAGAATACCTATATTTTTAGGACTATATGCTAAAGTAATTAAGGATGAATGTTGTGTCTTTAACCTTTGGTTTATTTCAGGAAAAAAAAAAAAGTTATGTGTAGAAAGGGAGAAATAAAGTAAATATGGTGAAACATTTTTGTAGATTTAAAATTTTCAAAATAAAAAGTTCTAAAAGAAGGGGGCTGGGCTGGGTTGTGGCTCAGTGGTGGCCCGCTTGCCTAGTATGCATGAGGCACTGGGTTCGATTCTCAGCACCACATACAAATAAATAAAATAAAGGTCCATCAACAATTAAAAAATATTTTTTAAAAAAGTTCAACAAGAAGGAAATAGCATGTTTATTTTTTTCCCAAAAAACCTTCAGAATAATTTTGTTAAGTTCCTCCAGAAATTTCATTAGTATTTTTGTAGGTTGTGATTAAATTAAAATGGGTTACTTTAGGGGGGTTTTGCCATACTTGCAGTTTTGAGTCTTATCCAAGAAGAAGGTATTTCTCTTTTTTATTCAAGTTGCCTTTAAAGCCTCTCAGTTGTTGTAATTTTGTCCTGTACTTTTATGTAATTAGCTAGAATGTTTTTTTGTGGTTATAGAGGATGTGATTTTTTTTATTCTGTTAGTTTTTTGATTAGTTCTTGTTGGTCTTAGGATAAATAACAACTTCATTATCTCTGTTACTATTTCAATTGGTTCTTTTGAGTTTTCCAGGTATACATTTAATGTTCTTAAAATAGTGACACAAATGCTTTCTAATTTGTATATCAGTCACATTGTTCTTTTTTCTATTTATGTTGGCTAGAATTTCTAGAACATTAAATAATAGTATGCTAACAAGCACTTGTTCTTAACTTTAATAGAATTAATGCTAAACTAGTGTTTTACCAATAAATATGATACTGGCTGATGATTTGAAGAGTATCTGAGAATGTGTGTTATGCCCAGGAATGACTGTTGAATTTCATTAAATTCTGTTTTGATTTATATCATAAGATTTTATAAAGTTTTTCCTTCATTTCAATTATATTAATAGATTTCTTAATATAAATGGTATATCTTTTTAAATGAGATTAATATTTAGGGGTTTTATTTTATTTTGGTACTGGGGATTGATCCCAGGGACTGTTACCACTGAGCTTCATCCCCGGCCCTTTTTATTTATTTATTTTTTAATTTTGAGACGGTCTTGCTACATAGGGCCTCACTAAGTTGTTGAGGCTGGCACTAAACTTGTGATCCTCTTGCCTTAGCCACCCAAGTCTTAATTTGTTTTATATATTGTCTTTGGTTTTAGTTCTTATTTTGTTTAATAATATTTGTTAAGCTTTTCATCTTTTTCTCTGCTCTGAAGCAGTTACACTTTAGTGTTACTTGGAGATTAAAAATAGTTCAATGATTATCTGAAGTTATTTAACAGCACTCCTTTGAATAACCATTTTAATTTCTTTCTTGGGTTTCTTTTATAGTCTGTGTTAGCATGGAGTTATAATCTGTGCTTTCGTATAATTCTTTCCCCAAATTTTGTTATTTCTCTTTATCTTCTTGAGTTATTAAATTTATCTTTAGTCTTATTTGCCAATGAAAATATTCTGGGCTTCTTGCACTGACTGGGACAAAGCAATGATATTTACTATCTCCTGAAACCTGGCAGCTCTAACATCTGCTCTTAATCCCTTACATCCTGGATCTTTAATTCTCTAATCTGCACAAATATCCTTGTTATCTAATTATGTGAGCCAATAATTTCTGAGTTTTTGTTTATACCATCTAAAAATACTTTTAAAAGTCAGTATTGATTGACAAGTCATGAAAAAAGTTTAGTTGGCTGAATAATTACAGAGCTATTTTGGTCTTCTCTTAACTTATTTCTTGTTTGTTTTCTTATTTCCTTCATTTTATATATTTTACTATAGGTTGGTTCCCCTTCAGTCATAGAAGCTGGAAAAATGTGTAATACATTTTTAGTTCTAAAAGTAGTTACTTGTCTAAGTAAGTGTAATCTTTACTTACTCTGTCATATTCAGCAAAGACTCAACCCCCTCTTGTTTTTTGACACTGTGAGTCCTTATTGCCTCCTTTCTAATTTAACTTATTTTTTACATTGCAGATAAAATAAGTTTTTCATGATTTATTATTAAGTAAATAAATTTATTTAAATTAAATTTATTATTAAATAAAATTTATTACATATGCACTACAAGCTTTTTTTTAAAAGGAAGAAATACAAAAATAAATAATACTTTCTTGTGTATGAAAATAAACTGGAGGAAACACACATGAGATTAGTGAAAGCAAATACCTGTTTATGGGAATGGCAACAAGACTTCTCATTCTATATCGTTTTGGATTGTTTGATTTTTATTATTTATTTATTTATGGCACCAGGGATTAAACCCACTGGGTCATATCCTTGGCCTCTTTTTTTAAAAAAAAAAAATTGAGATGGGATTTCACTAAGTTGCTTCGCTAAGTTGATGAGACTGACTTTGAACTTGGGATCCTCCTGCCTCAGCCTCCCAATCCTCTGGGATTTTAGGTATGTGCCACTGCGCCCAGCTGAACTGTTTGATTTTTTTTTTTAATTTTTTTTTTTTTAGTTGTAGATGGATACAATACCTTTATTTTTTGTGTGGTGCAGAGGATCGAACCCAGTACCTCACACATGCTAGGTGAGTGCTCTCACACTGAGCCACAACCCCAGCCCTATATTTTTTGAATAATTTTCAGTTATTTAGGTTTAATTTGGTATTACAGTAGACTCAGTTCCCAATGGTACTCCTGTCCTACTAGTTCTTTCTTATTCATTAGTTCTTTGACTCATCTCAAAGTTACATATTCAAATATATTCTTTGAGATAAAATCTGATTATCGTATTTCCTTTGCTAGTTATAAACTTATTGGTTCATAGCATATTCTTCCATTGAAGATGGCAGATAGTGCTCTGTTGTCTCCAGCTTCTATAAAGTGTTTGAAACTGGCCTTACATGTTTTTTCTTTGCAAGCAATGTGATTCTACTGCTTGGGTGTTAAAAAGATTCTTTCCTTTATATCTCTGAAACTAAATAGCTTTGTTAAGCCTTGTTTGGTGTTGCTCCACTTGTAATAATTTTCCTGGTAGTCAGTGATCTTTTTGATCTGTATATTTAAGTATTCCTTCATTTGTGAAAGTTTTATTTTATAAATCTCTGCCCTTGAATAATTTTGTTTTGAGTGTTATTCAAGTGTTGAGCACTAACTCAATACCCAAAAAAATTTTTTTAAAAAAAGTGTATTTTCCATCCATGGTTGGTTGAATCTATGAATGCAGAAGGAAACTTTGTTCATCCCACTGATGGCTTGCCATGTTGTGTAGCAACTGTATTTCTATTTGTCATTCTTAGCTAAAATGTGAACTCCTTGGAATTTGTGTCTTGTATACTGTTGGACTTTTTGAGATAACACAGAATTATTTGATCAACTGGCCTGATTTTTTTTTTAAAATATTTATTTTATTTTTTTAGTTAGCGGCAGACACAACATCTTTGTATGACACAACGTCTTTGTTTGTATGTGGTGCTGAGGATCGAACCCGGGCCGCACGCATGCCAGGCGAGCGCGCTACCGCTTGAGCCACATCCCCAGCCCCATGCCTGATTTTATTGAAATGTTGCTCCTGTTTCTTAATTTCTTCCTATTTTTTTGCTCTTTGCCTAGCCAGTGTGATCTTTTCCTACCTTTGCTCTTATCCTCAATCCTTGTTTGTAGTTAGTTGGGCAGTGTGCTTTTCTTGCCTTATATAATATGTCATGTCCTACAATGTAATGTTTTCTTTGGATATCCAATTTATTTAATAATTTGAAATAGTCTTGTATATCTTCAGTCATTCAAAATATTTATTTATTACATACTTTTACTCTAATAAAAATGAGAGATACATCTCAGATTGTAGAAAAGCAAACAATGTCTATTAATGTCTAGTAAGAACAGTATAGACTCAACTAGTAAAGCTGCATATGAGCCTTAGCTCTATCACTAAGCCATGTGATGTGACTACTATGATGTTTTCTAAACAATCCTTGTTATTCTAGAGTTGCTTGACTAGAAAAAAATATTGCAAGGTGATGTTCAGTTTTACTTGGTCTTTGTACTTGCTGATTTTATTCCTGACACCTAGTGGTTGAATCAGGATTGACAAACCTGGATCTTGGTTTTTCCTGTCTTGTTTCTAGGATCTGCATTTTGGTAGTTTGTCATTGTTGTTTGTTTGTTTTTGAATTTAAAAATGGTGTTTACTTCAAAACATTCAGAATGTCAACAAAACTGTGACAACTTTTTTTTCAATTACAGAATGGTATTCATTTAATAAAAACAACACTATAAGCTGTATCAAAGATACCTGAAGATGAAAAAGCTTCCCATAATTTGTTCCATGAACCAACAAGAACGTGCTTTAAATTTCTGTGCTAGTTTTTAACGCGCATACTGTGCCAGACAAAGTTGGTGTCTATTGAAAATACCACCAGGAAGCTGGGTAGGGTGGCATGTGCCTATAATCCCAATGACTGGGGAGGCTGCTGCAGGAGGATCACAAGTTCAAGACCAGCCTCAGCATTTTAGCAAGACCCAGTTTCAAAATAAAAAATAAAAAGATCTGGGGATGTACCTCATTGGTAAAGCATCCCTGAGTTCAATCCCCAGAACCAAAAGAAAAAATACCACCAGGACAGGACTATCTAAAGACACGTTTGGCAGTATGTATACAAAAAAGGACCCTGTATAGTTTTAACACAAACATTATACAGCCCTACACTTTTAATTTTTTTCTTTAAAAAGAGTGACTTAGAGGCTGGGGTTGTGGCTCAGCGGTAGAGCACTTGCCTAGCATGTGCGTGGCCCCGGGTTCAAACCTCAACACCACATAAAAATAAATAAACAAAATAAATGTATTGTGTACAACTAAAATTTAAAAAAAAAAAGGAGTGACTTATATACAGGGGGGTTAAATACTCTGTATGCAAGAAAAAAAAACCTGCACTAGAACCAACTTACTCCTTGTGCTCTTTATCTTCTTTGTCTACTGTTCTTCCTTCTTTCTCTTGTTTTTTTTTTTTTTTTTTTTTTTTTTTTAAGAGAGAATTTTTTTATTATTTATTTTTTAGTTTTCGGCGGACACAACATCTTTGTTTGTATGTGGTGCTGAGGATCGAACCCGGGCTGCACGCATGCCAGGCGAGTGCGCTACCGCTTGAGCCACATCCCCAGCCCCTTCTCTTGCTTTTTTCAACCTGAAACACTCCCTTTTTTGCCCTGTCAGGTTTTCCTTTAGCTTGGTAGGCAGAAATATCCTTTTCGTATTTTCCCCTCAATTTAGCAGCCCTCTTTTCATAGGGCTGCTTGTCATCTGCAACAATGTTATGCCACACCTCTTCCAATTTCTTTGCGACATCAATGGATAGACAGGCCAGGATGTTCTCCTTTGATTTTTAGGTGATACTTAGAACAAGAAAGCTGATGGGATCTCTTGGATGCATTAGGATCCTTGAACTTTTTTGTTTCCCCTATAGGAGGGAAAAAGGTTTTCATTTCTCTTTCATAATGGGCCTTGTCTGCCTTTACCATGTCTTCATGTTTTTGTTTCGTCTTAGCAGATGTGGTCTTCCACCTCTCTGAGCATTTAGAAAACTCTGAGAAGTTGACTGCAGCATCTGGGTGCTGCTTCTTGTGCTCCTCCCGACATGTTTGCACAAAGAACGTGTTTGATGAAATTTTGCCAGAGATTATAAGGATTGATGAAAATACTTTTGTTGGGCTGGGGTTGTGGCTTAGTGGTAGAGCACTTGCCTAGCATGGGTGAGGCACTGGGTTCAATTCTCAGCACCACATATAAATAAAATAAAGGTTCATTAACAACTAAAAAAAATACTTTTGTTATACTGGTATAAAATATACATAAAAGTGATATTTAATATAGATACATAGATTTTTCAAGATTCTGACATGACTTTATACACATTATTCCTAACTTAAAAATCTTCCCCTTTTCCTCCATTATTTTCTTCAAGATCAGCTTCAAATTTTTGAAATTGCTTCGGACTTTGGCTTCATTAAAACTATAGGCTCAGAATGTTGACAGAGGAAAATCTTGTCATATGATGTCATTTATGATCCCACTTATGCATTAGAGATATTTGTAATCCAGTATGTTTGTTTTGTCCTTAAAGTAACTGAATGAGATGGTCAGGAGTAAATTAAAACCATAATGATGCATAGAGTAAATCAAGTGATGTCGTGTCTGTACCAAATATGACTTATATTTGACCCACAGTTCATTCTGACTTAGTCTATTAAATCTGAATAAATAAAAATATTCATACTGAAAAAGATTTTGTTAAATAAGGGGGAAAGGGACTCCGAAGACTAATTATAAATTAAAACTCCTTTTCCAATTTTATTAAGACCCTTTCAAGTAAGTTTTTTAAAGTAAAACTTTTTATGTTAAGATAGTATTAGCTCTCATTCTCTCCCATTTTCTAGCAATCACACCACTTGTAACTTGTGGCATCACTGCTCTCACAGTGAATGGAATGTGTGCTTGTGTATTGTGTTCTAAAATTGTCTTGAGTTTGGATTTATAATATGATAAATAGCATCGGACATAGTCTACATATACAGTCTCAATTGCTTTGAAGAGTTTAAAGGAGTATTTATTACTTCTCAGCCTTTGGGCTAAGATCCAAATGTAAGGGACTCCCTGAGATCAAATTTGTGACCTATTTCTCTATGGCACGGTTAAATCAAAGTTGCAGACTTCTCATTTCTTAGTTATTGTAGAAAGTATTAGTTCTTCTGGGGAAACATGATCTGTTCTCTTTCTGCTTTTTTGGGGAATAGAATATGAATATTAAGTGTGGGTGGTACAGTTCAGGAAGCTGGCTCTGGGGATTGAATCCAAGGTTATTTAACCACTGAGCCACATCCCTAGCCCTTTATTCACTTTTTATTTTGAGACAGGGCCTTGCCAAGTTGCTGAGGCTGGCTTTGAACTTCAAGTTCTCCTAAGCTGCTGGAATTATAGGTTATGCAACTGTTAATTAAGAATATTCTGGGAGCTGGAGTTGTAGCTTAGTGGTAGAGTGCTTGCCTAGCATGTGCGAGGCACTGAGTTCAATCCTCAGCACCACTAAATAAATAAATAAAATAAAGGAATTATGCCCATCTACAACTAAAAATATTTAAACAAAAGGAGTATTCTACTGGTTGCAGTGGCACATGCCTCTAATCCCAGCAACTAGGGAGACTAAGGCAAGAGGATCATAAGTTCAAGACCAGCCTCAGCAACTTAGTGATACCCTGTCTTGAAATAAAAGAAGGGCTGGGGTTTTGGCTCAGTGGTTAAGCTCCTCTGGGTTCAATCTCTGATACCAAAAAAAAAAAAAGTGGCTGTGGGATATGGGTCACTAGTAGAATGCCTGCCCAGCATGCATGTGGTCCTGGTTTCAGTCCCTGGCACCACCACCACAAAAAAGCCTTAAATATGGTTCATAGTTCAGGTAAGGTAGAAAAGGGATATGATATTCAGGGCCCCGGTAAAAGACACTTAACATCCTATAGTTTTAGGACTGGAATGATTTTGGCTTCTTACTAATAAAAAGAGTAAATGGATTTGATCTCCAGCACCACAAACAAAAAAAGTGGAACTCTTTTTACTTGATATCTCTCAGTTAAATTCTTCCCCAGTAACTCTTTAGAAATTAAAAAGAATTTAAAAAATGGGCTTTCAAATTATTTATTTTCTTTTTCGTATATATAATGTGGTATATATAATCAATTTGCTTATTGGTTTTTCTTCCGCATGTGTTTTATTTCAGTTGGTCGCATTATGTTTCAGCTCTTCTCAGACATATGTCCAAAAACATGCAAAAACTTCCTTTGCCTATGCTCAGGTAAGTGAATTTTTAAATTTCTGATGAGAAGTCAAGGCATGTCGTCCGTCCTTCCTTCCTTCCTTTCTCTCTCTCTCTCTCTCTCTCTCTCTCTCTTTCTTTCTTTTCTTTCTTTCTCTCTTTCTCTCCCTGTCCCTCCCCCTCCCCCTCCCAGCATAGTATTACCTTTAACAGAATAGATATTTTCCTGAAAAAATAAAGGTCTTTAGAAATGGCTTTTGCAACCAAAAACATAATCATACCAACCTATGTGAAATTAAGAAAGCATTTCATAAGAGGGAAAAGAAAGAAATGGTCTTAAAAATGAAAAAGAAAGTGAGAATCTACTTCATGTGATGGAATCTTCTATACATTGTAGTTTATAAAATAATAGACATTTAAAATCGATTTGTTTTGGTAGAACTTTACAAATTTCAGTATTTTACAAATTTAGCGCTTCAGATTTCAGAAGCAATATAGGGCTAGCCAAGTGTAATGGCATACACCTGTAATCCCAACTACTTAGGAGACTGAGGCAGAAGGATTGCAAATTTGAGGCCAGCCCTGGAAACTTAGTGAAACCTGCTTTAAATAAAGAGTAAAAAGAGTTGGAGGTCTAGCTTAGTAGTAGAATGAGCTCTCTGGATTCAATCCCTAGAAACATACACACAGAGAAAGAAAAGAAAAAAACAAATTTAAGGCTAGAAGATGGAGAGGTAGAACATAATAAAATTGTTCTTTATTGTGTATAATTGGATTTATGTCCTAAATAAGTAGAAAAATGGAGATAATATTAGTTTAAAATGAGAAATAGCAAACTAAAAATGTAAAATTCGTACTTCTTCACACACACACACAATCTTTGCATCAACTTCCTTGATCCCATTCGTTTATAGAGAAATAAACATCCCCAGTTTTCTCTCTTGTAGCATGTAGAGTGTGAGCTAACAATTGCTTTGTATTGTTTACTTTGATTTGCGTGTATACGTATGTTTTTAAATTGTCACATCATTTATTTTTTTTATCTCTTAAAATACCAACTAAAAACAGGAGAGATTTGGCAGTGGAATAATTGGTTGGTTCTTTTCCTTGGAAGGATGGGTTTGTAGCTAAACTTCGATTTTTTTCTGTTTTCCCCCCAGGGGAGAAAGGCCTTGGGAAAACAACTGGGAAGAAGTTATGTTATAAAGGTTCTACATTCCACCGTGTGGTTAAAAACTTCATGATTCAGGGTGGGGATTTCAGTGAAGGTAGAGCTAAAAGTTATGTTCTCAATTCCATCTGTCAGTTTTTAAAGATCTCATTATTACTTTTTAATTGAAATATCATATCAGAATAATTGAAATGTTATATATATGGTTGGTGCATAGTTGTGGGATGGACAGATGCTATGGATCCAAAATGTATGAAAACATAAGATACTATGACATTTAACTTGCTTTTATGTAGTTTATTTTAGTAATATTACAATTATGTGATAAATACCCTTAAAATGAATGCTAAAGTACTGTCCAATTGAATTTATTCTAGAATTTTGTTGGTGTGATTAATGCTTGAAATAAGTGGGTCCTAGAGTCATTTTTTAAAAATGATATTATAATATTTTAAAGATGAAGTTAATTGAGGACTCTTAAAGTTATGGTTATATGCACCACTTATAAAGTTCACGGATTCCTTCAGCAAATTAAAACCATTCAAAATAATCTATATGTATTAGTACATTTTTAATTTTCAGTATGGCTTAATATAGCTCATTATTTACAGGTAATGGAAAAGGTGGAGAATCAATTTATGGTGGATATTTTAAAGGTAAGGCCTAATATTTTATGGTCTTTTGTTTCAGTTCTGATATTAAAGCAAGTTTGGTCATATACTTTTAATGAAAAGAGGTTTACTTATAGTTCACTTTTTGCATGAAACTAATGCTGCATGAAAATACTTTATTTGCATGAATTTGGGGATAAATTATATTGTAATATAACTTTTAATTGACAAGATTAATTAAGGCTAACTTTATGGTTAAACATGACTTTCAGCATGGAGGTTAGGCAACTATATTCATGAAAACTCCTATCTTCCTGCCTAAAACTGTCAACATATTCTTTTGTTTATAGAGAATGTGGTCTTTTGCAAAATGAAAAGGTAAGAGAACAAAGCTCAGTAACACAAACTCCAATTCTGTTCCCTTGCACCCTTCCTAATAAATTTATGGACAGTCTGGGTCAGGTTGTGGCTGGATTTCTATATTGCTTGAAGACTTGGAAAATAATTTTATGTTATTTCATAAGTGTATGTGTATCTTTTTTTTTCCTTTCCCAATGAGTTATTCGTTCCATATCAGGGGAAAGAATCTAGCTGTTTTTTTTTCCCCCTAAGCCAAGCAATTTCTTTGAATAAAAATTGGTATTTTCTTCTTTCTCAAAGGTTTGTATGTTTTCTTTCGTATACTAGAAATATATGATGGTATTTTATTCCTACAGTAGTAGCATTTGCATAAATCTAACTATTGCACTTGCCCCAAAAAGCCTTAGAAAAGTCAGTTGCAGAAATTTATAATGGGATCCAATCTTACTAGGTTTTAATGCTATAAAAGCTTCAGTGTTATAATAGTCTTTTATATTTCCTTTGGGAGAAAATGGATTACTACTCTTTTTCAGAAGCCTGTTCCCAAGGTAATCATGTTTTCAAGTTTTCTATGTTTCTGTTTGTTCTAAAGAAAGATTTGTTTGTATGAATGTCAAAAGGAATTTTAAGTTAATAAGGGTGTTTCTGCTGGAATTAATATGATCTCTAAGTGATCTTTATGGTGAATTTTTTTCCTCTAAATGAGTAAGAAACAGCTCTTTAGCTGCTTCTATCTGCATTTAGCAATTTAAAATTTAATGCTGTAGGCCACTTTAATGTGGTTGTTCCTTGTGGCAGATACTTTTATATCTTAAAATTGTATTTTGCCATTTCAATTTTTATTTTTACAAAAGTTAATTCCTTAGATAATTTTGTGATCTGATTGATAATCCATATACTTAATTTAGACATGTCCTTAAAACTTAAAATATCTAATTCTTTTTGCTCTTATAACTTCAACTCAGTTGAATAATTTTACCATATGAAAATTAAACAAATAAAAGGATTATTAAACACCCATATATAGTACATTTGGCAGGCTAATTGGAAATTTTGGAAGAAATGAATTTTACTGTAGAGATTTATCTAAAAATTTCCTTATTAGTTTTTCCTGCAAGTTAATAGCTTATGTACTGCTTAGCCAAGTATGTTACTACAAAAAGTGACTATTCTAAGGCTGTTTGTATAAAATATTAAATATATGTTCTTTTCTTTAAGGCTTTCATTAGTATCTTTTGGCATTTTTATGCTCTTTTTTGATTAGTTGAAAAATTTTTTCCTAAATATTGTCAAGTATCTGTACTGACCAGAAGAGGAATTTCATCCTTTGCTTTCTATTTATTACTTGAGCATTACTTTAAAAGTGTCTTATAATTGGGAGACTGACGTATTTGTGTTTTCTTCAAACAGATGAAAACTTTATTCTCAAACATGACAGAGCGTTCCTTTTGTCAATGGCAAATCGAGGGAAACATACCAATGGTTCCCAGTTTTTCATGTGAGTAGGCATAATTCAGAGATGAGTTTTTCCTAAACAGAGAAGCGCTGTTCATGAGAAAGATGGTATAGTTAAAGCAACTTTAATGCTAAAATTCTGTCAACTTGGGTTTTATTATTAATTTCTAATGTTATATAGTAACTGGTAATCTCTAACAACCACCTCAGCATTCAGCATACATCCTGGATTTGAAGAATGGAACTTAAAAAATGTAACTTAAAGATATATATTATTTATGCTGTTGACATGAGAAAATAAATTGGCTTTGGCCCTTACCAAATTTGATAACTTGGTTTATGAAAACTGGATTGGAATATAAACTATTGATGCACATTTAAAAATTCTTCATAGTATAGGACCATATAGATGTACCTTCAGCATGGAAAGCAGTTGGTTTTAGTAAACCATTGTATACTTATTTTTCTCTCTTACTGTTGCTCTTTGAGCTAATTTTCAGAGAGGTACCATTATTTCCTGATGTCATATGGAAATAGGTGATTTGCTGTTGAACCAGCATTTTAAAAAATTTAAATTTTTGTCTAAATGTACTCTAAAACCTATTTTAATTACAATCCCATCATATGGAATAAAGATAGTTGTGTGCAGCATGAGGTTTAATGCTTTTGATTGAAAGTCTCACTTATCCTGTATACGTTGGAGAAATATTTTATTCATGGTTTATCAGAAAAAGTTTTCTTTGACATCTTTCTGAATGGATGAGTATGAAGGGCGCTTCCCTGTCTTTAAAGGACCAAATTATTCATATAAACTCATATTTTAAATTTGTCTAAAAAAATAGATTTCCAACATGATCTGATAATGTTCAGATAAGGGACATTCTATTCCTAAGAATGTCCTAAAAATGGAAAGCTGATAAAAGATGATTATGCTTGGAGTTATACAGGAAAAAATCCTAAGACAGTTGTTCCTGTATCTTGTTTTGATCCCATAGCTTATTAGTTATAATATGTGTTTATTAGAGTAGTTTTTTATTCTTAACATTCTTAAGGGCCAATAAAAAATAGAAATATTTTAAAAACTTTTTTGTAATGACTTAATGTATAAACTGTTTACTCTGAGGTTTCCCATTTCCATTTTTAAGCTTATCTGAACTCTGAACATGAAAAACTACTCATTGGTCAAGAAGCTACCATCTGAGGGCTCTAAAGTTTCTTTTAGATTTCCTTTTTTTATATCTTTACATTTAGAATTTGATTTATCAGGTAGCAGCAGCTTCTTGCCATTATCACATGTAGATGAGTTTGTCTACAAAGTGAATTAAAGATGCTGCACTTCACTTAATAATTAAGACATAGTCTGTGAGATTCTCTTCAGAAAACATAGAAGTATCTTATTTTTGTGTTATTTAGTTAATAACTCTTTTCTAGGAATGTTTAGTAAAAACCATTACTATTTTCAGCATGGCCTACTTTTACATTGGATTGCTATTTTTGAAGAGGACTGTCAAGTGAAATTTTTAACATCAATAAGTTAGGATTAAAAATTGTAAACTCATTTTCATGTGGCACTATGAGCTTGTGATCAAAAGAAAATTTTCACTGGGTACAGTGGTACAAGCCTGTAATCCCAGCAACCCGGGAGACCAGCCGGGCAACTTAGCCCTGTTGCAAAAATTAAAAAAAAAAAAATGCTGGGGATAGAGCTCAGTGGTAAAGTGCACCTGGGTTCCTCCACTACCATTAAAAAAATTAAAAACAAAAAAACAAGAAGAAAGAAAAGAAAATTTCCTGCTTATTATTATCTCATGAAAATTCAGTCTGAAGTTTATTTCTGGAAAAAAGTTTAACAGTTAAGAGTAATTTTGTACACGTGTACACAAAATCCTCATCCACCTTTTTTTTTTTTTTCTTTTTTTTTTTTTTTTTTAAGAAACTTGTGTTTGTGCTGTTTCCTTATGATGGCTGAAAATACCAATATCATGAGATGCAGGATAAAATCAAACTAACATTCACATTTTTGAATAAAACACATCTTTGCATTTGTGGAAAGAGTAGGTAAAGTGGATATGGTGACCCATAAAAAATCTTTGAAACTTCATGGTTCACAAGCCCAAATCCTTTTGGAGTTGAAAGTAGTAAAAAAGTGTATGGTACAGTGTTTAAGTTGTGTTATGTTATCACAGATAATAGCTGTGATGGTCATAAAGCTAAGTGATGGCTTCCCACTGCCTTTTATCCTATTACCACAGCCCTTCCTAGGGACACCTTTAGCAGCAGTTCTGAAATCTGAAAAATAAAGGATAGCTAAAGAAGTGATGTTGAAAAGGACTGCCTTTATAGTTCATGTTTTAATAGGCTTAATGAGGACTTTTCATATATTTTTGCTTAAGTGTAGCTTATGTTATAAATCTGTTGTTCTACATTTCCTACGGGCTAAATTTGGTGCTGTTAGTGTGATTCTTGGCACAGTGTTGCACAAGGATTCATGTGCTTTGTGAATTCTTGTTTTACACGGTTAACAACTCCCCTTCTAAGGCATATGTCATTTTTATTCAACATAATTTTGCATATATTGCTTTCTTTGACTGGGATAATTGTACATGTGATGAAAGTCAGATTTTTATATAAAACTATTTGTACATTTTACAGTAACTGCTTAAATCTGCTGCTGGTTAGTCTTAATGACTTTTGCTTTTGGAGGCTTATATAGAAGAAAACTAATTCTTTTTGGGATAGTTCTCAAACATGAAATAAGTGGTATATGCCACTGTCTCCACAAATCATTAAGGAAACAATGATTTGTTCATTTGAATCATTTTTTTAAGGAATTCGAAGACCTCGAGCTAGGTTTATGACACATACCTATACCCAGCTGCTTGGGAGTTGCGAGTTAGAGGCCAGCCTGGGTATCTTAGTGAAATCTTGTCTCAAAACAAAATAGAAAGGGTTGGGCACGTAGCTCAGCGATAGAGTACTTAATTAGCACGTGTAGGGCCCTGGGTTTAATCCCCAGCTCTGCAAAAATAAATAAATAAAAGCCATAGAATCATAGTCTTAGAGTAGAAATAGAATTAGAAATCATCTAAAACAACCTTTTCATTCTACAGGTAATGCTAAATAAGGAAGAAGAACCATGGAAAATCCAGATTATAGAAACTTGATTCATAATATGAAAGAAATTGTTAGGGAAAGAATGCTGCACACTATCAGCTACATAATTTTGTTAATGTCTCTGTTCTGAATTTAGTTAAGTATTAGAGACAGCAAGCATTTTGCTGAGAAAGTGATATTTGGGGAAACCTTTTTCCTTTTTGCTGGTTAGTAATAATTATGGATCTAATTTTTACTGTTTTATATGCATTATTTGAAAAGGTAAAGATGTGGAATAAGACAGAATTAAGATTAGGTACATAGCTTATATTTTGTCATTAAATGACCTTTCTTAGATAGGACACTAGCTATCAAAAGCCTTGGTTATGTTTTGTTTCCTATATACCTTGAGTTCTTTTTTAACTTTTCTTTTTTGTTAAGTATCTGTTCCTACTTTTAAAGATGAAACATTTTGATGTGGAAGTTGTCATAAAAGGAATAAATGCTTTGTAAAATGCTCCCAAGTTTCTGAATATGTGGAATGTTTATATGCAAACATTGTCTTGCCTGAAGGAAATATTTATATTTGCCTAAGTTTCATCAGTCTGAAAGGTGTCTCAAAGAAGCTTAAGGCCCATCTTATCTAAATCAGGAGCAGCAGTCCATGAGTTGCTTAAAGAATATTAGTCTGTGTAGGCTTTATGTCACAGCCATCGAGTAGAGAAACCTGCAGAACTTTAGAGAACAGTTCCTCTTGCTGGCTAGTGTCAGTAGTCATGATAATTATAAAAATATAAGTAAACAAGATAATATGGAAAAGCCACGCTTTGACCCTTAAACAGTTTGGGAGACAGCAATATTGGGGATTGAAGCCAGAGCCTTGTGCATGCTAGGCATGTGTTCTAGTCCTGAGCTACACCTCAGTCCTGTTACATTTTATCTGTCACAAAACGAGTGAGAGAGAGAGAGAGAGAGTGTGTGTGAGAGTGTGTGTGTGTGTGTGTGTTGGGGCAGTGGAATTTGATGCTCTAGAATTGTTTGACATCATTTAAAAAACAGACTTGCAAGAGGCTACCCACCTGAATGAGAGGTGAGTGCTCATCATTTCAGGATACCAGAGCAAAGAGGGAGGTAAGGGCAGTTGGTTTTAAGGTATTTTTTAAAGCTATGTTAACATTTGGGGTAGATTGAGGATAGAAATGTTCTTTTTACCCACTTATCATTAATTTTGTGAGGAAAAAAATGCTAGTAAGTGTTAATAATCTGAGAAATTCCAGCTTTTTAAACCTTCCTTTTTGGGGGGTGGGGATTAAACCTTTGCATGTTAGTTTTGGAGTTTTCCATGAGCTAAAATGTGTGTGAATCTTTTTTTTCCTTTTTTATTTGTCAGATGTATATGAGTCTTAACCTATAAGCCAGCTTCTCTGATTATCAAATATCATCCCTAAAATTCAGGCTTAATATTAATTAGGGTTTATGTGGCACATGTATCAGCAACATGGAAGAAATTTTATATCTAGTAGTTTTTGTGGTTTTGATTACCTTAATACTATGCCGAATTTTAGAAAGCTCTTATATTTTGGTGACTTTGGGATACATAGGTAGAGCATTGTGAGGTGACTATGTTAGTTTCTGTTGCCCTGATAAAAGCTTCATCATTAGATACAGTTTGGTGCCTCTTCCGTTCAGTGTCATAGTTTCAGGAGTTGAACCGAGAGAATTGCATGTTAAAAGCTAAATTAGAAGTAGGTTATCTTTATTTCCTTTTTTTGTATTGTTTTATACGTGGAATACTTATTTTTTACAGTATTCATGAAACCCCACATTCTTTCAAACATGTTCTTTTGACACTAATCCATGTATCATTTACAAGAAATTAAAACATTTTTAAATATTTCAGGAGTTAATATGTCTAAAGCACCCATCAAGCTTTTTGTCCATGGCAGAATAGGGTTTGTTTGTTTTTTTTAATCTAAGTAGTAGTAATAGATACATTTACAGTTAAAATTGAGCAGTGTGTGTTCTTTGAAAAATGTGGAAAATCAGAGACTAGATAGGAAAACTATTTACTATAGCCAAGATTATAGTTTATATTTTATATAAACTATAATCCCTCTAGAGTAGAGGGATTATAGTTTATATTATGGTTTTCAGTCTCCTTTTAGTACACTCTTATACTTTCATCTCTCTTGCATTTTTATCCTCTGAGAAAATCCCTAAAATTCTAGTTATGCTGCTTTATTATTTTTTATTAGTATGTTCAGTGACTTGACTTAAAAGTGTATGTTACATTTACTCAACACCTCCTGAAAGTGGTCTGTTGTGATATATAACTGACAAAAAGGTCAAATTGTACAAACATGGTTGATTCTTTAATTATTAGAAGTGAATTAGTAAAAAGTTCCTTGAAACTTTATTTTGAATTATCTTAACTCAGTTTTTTCCAGTGAATTTTTTTTTTTTTTTTTAACTTTTGACTAGTGTTAATTGCTCCTGGGCATATTTATGCTTATACTCAGTAATTTTATTCTCATTTGAAGAAGATGTTAGTTGCCTTATTTAGTTTGGGGGACTTGTGAAAGGAAATGTAATGTTTTGTTAATCATTATTTATCTATCAGCACTTTTATGTTAGATTATTAATGATCTGAGCAGATTCCTGCTTTAACCACAGTGCTATTTTTTAAGCATAAATCATCTCTACATAAATATCCTTTGTGAAAGAAAATTTAGAGCCCTCCATTTTAAAAAGCTTTCTTGCTTTGCTTTAAACTCTAAAATATTTAATTTCAAAGTTATATTGATATTAAAACATAGATTCAGTCTTGTCTTAAAAGTGTATTACAATTTATTTCTTGCCATTTTTGTGTAAAATTTACAGAAAGAGTGTTACACCGTGCGCTCCAAAGGTAATGTCTCATTACTCTAAGGCTCTCTCTTTCTCTTTCTTTGCCTTTATCTCTTTAAGCCTGTTGTTATGTGCTTTGAAACATTTTAAGAAAATAAAAATAAAAAAGCTTTCTGCTTGTTCTGTAAAGCAGCATTACTTGTACAACAAGTATGTTTTATAGCTCATGGTTAATCCTGGGAAGTGTATTTTAATATTGGTGGCTTGTCCACTCTGTTTCTACAACATCTTCTGGTGGGAGAGTAGAGGGCTTATAGTTTATATTATGGTTTTCAGTCTCCTTTTAGTACAGAACTAGTAATTTCTGCATAAGGTCAAAGGATTCTCTAATAGTGTAAAAATGTAGATTGTTCTTTGGAGTAACAGTGATATTTTTTGATTTCTAGGATTTACAAGGTTTAAATGAACTCTTGCCATGTACATTTTTAAGTAAATTCTAAGTGACAGGAGAAAATGGAAATGTATATATGTTGAAAGGTTTTATAACTGAAATGCTATTTGTGTTTGTTTCTCCCTTAGATATGTTTTAATAAGCTTGTATAAACTTACACATTTATTATAGTCTCTGGCCTTCTTAAGGTTTTCACTTACTGAGTGTGTCACTACTACTTGGTTCTTTAAAGAGCTTTATAGTTTTGAAAGATGAGTACAGTTAAGAGTTAGAGGGATGAAGACTGAGGATGTGACCCAGTGGTAGTGCACTTGCCTAGCATGTACATGGCCCTGGGTTCAATCCCTAGTGCCACAAACAACAACAACAACAAAAAGTTAATGGATAAGATCTCTTTGCCTGTTTTAGTAGTCTACACTGTACAAAATCATGTCCCCTGTCTTCTTATACCCCTTTTTTTGTAATTTAGTTAATGTTCTCTGTTCGTTCTTATAGACTTCAGCCCAGTGCCAGTCAGCCTACTTTACCTTGGGATTTCTACTCCTGGGATGTAGGCTTAGAACCCTAGAAGGCTTCTTTTTGGTAATTCTTAATATGTAGTCCAGCCCAGTTAAAGTACACATTTACATTTCTGGATTCCAATTCTGGATCCCAGGTGCAGATGTGAGTAAATTAAATTATTTACATCACTTTAGGCACCATGGGCAGACTGAAAGTTGTCTTCAAAAGAAAGAGGCAATTCTGTCTTTCTTTTCTTCACTACTACAAATAAAAGTACCAAGTTTATTTATCCTTCAGTTTTCATTTGAATTGAAAACAAAACTTGGGACTGGGAGTATAGCTCAGTGGAATAGTATGTGGAGGACCTGGGTGCAGTCCCCCACACCAAAAAACAGACAAAAAACTTAAATGTCTTAACGATGTGTATTCTATTCTCAAGTAGTATGTTACTGCATCACAGTAGTTTGCTAGGTTGTCTTATCTCACCAAAGGTTTGCCATAAGGTGGTTTTTTATTAGCCAAGATGGCAAATGGAATAGGACTTTGTGTGTTCTAGAAAAATCTGTAGGCTTTCCCCAATACTTGAATATCTGAACTATGAGAAAGGATCAAGTAAGGAAGAGGAACGTATCTAACCAACAATCCATTCATTGCTTTCATTTTTATGTATTTGAGACTGATCTCTTGAGAAATTTTTACATTTTTAGAAGCACTCTTTACATCTTTTATATATTGGAATCTGTCTAGCTTATGTAGTAGTCTCTTATTTTTAGTGTGCTTGGTAGAGTTTTATAATTATGGGAAGTACATTTCTATTATAAAATAATTATCCATTTTTAATGCTAGTTTAATGATTAATAATTTAGGGGCATTAGTGGCTCCTCACAATTCACTAGATTTTCTTTTCTTTTTTTTTTTTTTTTTTTTGCTGCCTGTTTTCATTTTTATAATTACATGGGCTTGAATTTTTAAATTCTCGTTCTTCTAAGGAATATTTGAGACTTTTAGTTTTAAAACTCAAGATTTCCTTTAAAAGTTTAAAACTTAATTTTGACATTTTAATTTTTTAAAAAATAACTGTAGTCATCTTACAGAACTGAATATGCTTAATGTAAGTATAAGCATTACAATTTCTTTTACAGTAAAGTTTGGCATTGTTGCAAAGGCTAAATTTGTGTTTTATGTACTTAGATGTCTTAAACTTCCTCAAAATGAACATAAAAGTTTATATGGATGCTTTTAGTATTATTCATTGCTTTAGTGCAGCCTGATATCCAGTGACCTCTCTCTCAGATATCTGCTTTTCATTCTTATAAACTAAGATACTTGTGGTATATAATTCTGATTATCTGCTTTTGGATTTTTGCACTGCAATTCAAGCAGTTTGAAGATTTGTGAAAATGCTATGGGAAATCAGCTTGGGTTTAAAGTTCCTTAACCAAATATACCCCGTAGACTGTCCAAGAAGTTTGTGACTGTAGAAGAAGCTGATTGAGTATTTTCTGAGCAATAGAAATTTAAGGTCTATAGTGTCCATCATGACTTTGCTATCAAAATTGTTAGATGAAGATTTTTCTCCCCATTGCATTTTCGGAATTACTGTAAGTGGCAGAATCTCACCTTGTGTGAGGAAAGGTGCAGGAAGTTCTGAAAACAGGACTCCTGAGGCCTTCCTCCATCTGCCTGCCTAAAAGCTGCAGACTGACTCAGTATGAGAAATAATAAATAGAAGAACTCATCTAAGTGTGTGGGACAAGTGTTGATCCCACTTTGCAATCCATAGGGGACATGATAGGTGCTTTTCCTTTTTTAATTATAAGTTTTGAGGTTTTTTTAATGTTTGTTTTTTGTTGTTTTGGATTTGAAAGTATTTTTAATTTTAATATGTATTTATGTTAATATTTGTGGATATAACTCAGATGAAACCTATTTCATATGTTCTATATATGCATATTATCTAATAGGTATGATTTTATAATTCATTATAATCTTGCTTTGATTTTTTTTTTTCTTAGTAAAGTGGCTATTATTGCTGGTTTGGGGTCTTGAAGGTTAGATATTTATTTATTATGTTTAACTTTTTCTCCATCTTTTTATCTTTACTTCTTTGTTCTCTACATGCTGTGTTTAAACCCTTCTGCTCTCTTCACCCGAACACGTCGTTCTTGACATCATCTTTGTGTTGATGTTTATTACACAGTACTACAAAACCTGCTCCACACCTGGATGGGTAAGAGTTACATTCTTATGATCTTGGTGGTGGTTAGGGTAGCCAGTCATAAGGACACATTAGACTTCAGGTGTGTCCTCTGTGGATACTCTTGATGCCTGGGTCATCTCTTATAACCTTGCTCTTCAAGCATCACAAGGTGCAGTAGTTTTGAGGCACTATGCCTCTTATGTCACGGAAGGAATCTTTAACCTGTGTCTGTGGATGGGCTTCTCAGCCATGCAGTATTGAATATCCTTGGAAAGACAGTTTCTCAGTATTGAGTGCAGACTTTTTACCCTAAAATGGTTAAGAGCCATTATTAGAAAGGGAGAAAAACCCAGACTCAGTTTAATGGAGGCCAAATTTTTTCGTTGTTTCCTTTTATGAAACAGATTTCAAGTTTTCTTTCCCTTCTGGTGGCTTCATGCATCAAATACATTCATTTTATTTTCAGGTCTTTGGCTGTGTCATTTATTAACAAGTTATCTTGATTACTATTCATAGGTTAGCTGTCACCAAACCAATAATTTCTTGAATTTATATTGTGACAGGGTACATGTTGTCTTTGGACTGGTTATTTCTGGATTTGAAGTCATAGAACAAATTGAAAATCTGAAAACTGATGCTGCAAGCAGACCTTATGCAGATGTGCGAGTTATTGACTGTGGGGTGCTCGCCACAAAATCAACAAAAGATGGTAAGAGCTTTGGGGACTGGAAGAGACTAGGATGCAGTGAAGAACTATAAAGACTAATTTATTTAAAGATACCTCCTTGATTGAAGGAGTGGACAAAACATATTAGTGGCGTAACAATAACACTTGAGGCCTCTATATCATACCCTATTCCAGTCCATTAGCAAATCCTATCAAGTCTTACCTCCTCTTATTACTTTCCTTTGTTGCCAGCCGAATCCAAACCACCACTGTCTCATGCCGGATTTATAGCAATGGCTTCCTAATCTTTCACCTTGCCTCTGTCTCCATGTTCTCTTGTAATCTTTTCTCAGCAGCAGTACCCTAACTAGTCTCCTTGATTATATCCTTCTGTGGTTTGTTTGTAACAGCAACTAGAGTGATCTTTTTAACCACATTTCACATCCACGCCACTTCCACTCAGAACCCTCCAAAGGTTGCCCTCTCAGTTAACAAAACTGAAGTCTTTGCAGGGGTCTGTAAGGCTATGGACAATCTGCCTCTGTTGTCTTTTTGACCTCCTCATTCATTGCCTTTTAGCCACATTGACCTTTACTCAGACATGCTAATCACTCAAGGTTTTTGTGCTGGCTGTTCTCTCTGTCTAGAACACTCTTGGTTAAGATATGCACGACCCCCTCCCTTTAGGTCTGTTCAGATGTCATCTTAAATTCCCCCTACTCTCTGTATACCTTTTATACTGCTTTTTTTTGTTGTTATAATACACAATTATTTATTTTCTTATCTCTCCCATTCTAATGTAGACTTCATGAGAATGAGCAACTTCATTACTTTAGAGTCTTGCAACCAATTGTATTATCAACTTGTTAAAAAGTTTATTTAAATTTCTTTTTTAGTTTACTATACATGAAGCAACTAGAATCGTATGTGATTTATTATAAACTATCATATAATTTTACGTAATCAATTTTTTACTCTTAAAGGTAGACACAGGAATTCATTACTAATATTTTTGTTAATATTTATTAAAAGTTTTTGAGAAAAAAAGGAAGAAACCAACACATTCAGAAGACTCGGATTCCTCTTCCAGTTCCTCTTCATCTTCCGAATCATCTTCAGAAAGTGAAATTGAACATGGGAGAAGCAGAAGAAGGAAACATAAGAGGAGGCCAAAAGTTAAACATTCTAAAAGGAGAAGAAAGGAAGCAAGCAGCTCAGAAGAACCAAGGAGCAAACATATAATGAGCCCAAAAGAGTAAGTATGAAACACCAATTCAGTCTTAACTAAAACACACTCACCCTGGAATGGGCAAAGTACATGAGACTATGTAAATCCAGTTTATTTCTAATGGATGACAAGCATAGCATTTTTTAAAATTGTAACTAAATTGAAATCTGACATCTTGGAGTAGCATATGCGTTTATATTCAAGATTTGTGTTTTTCCAGGTGAAAATAATTCCTGAAACTTGTAAAAAGAAAAATAAGTTAAGATCATTCAATAATTTTATTGTCAGAATTGTATTTCTCTGGGTTGATGTTTTATATGTTAAATTATACTACCCTTTGAGACTTGTAAGCTGTCAGTAGTTTTGCCATTAATGTCTAGTTTTCTGTGCTTTTATTATTATGAAATTCAAGCATGACTCATCTTATTTGGTGACTTGTTTGATCCTTGACAGTCACTCTGAGAGGAGTGATACAAATGAGAAAAGATCAGTTGATTCAAACGCTAAACGGGAAAAGCCTGTAGTCCGCCCAGAAGAGATTCCTCCAGTGCCTGAGAACAGATTTTTACTGAGAAGAGATATGCCTGTGGTCACTGTGGAGCCTGAACCGTAAGTAGGATGACTAACTTTTGTACTTTTATTTCTCTGATAGACAATTTTTTCTTTCTTTTTTTTTTTCCTAGCTTTTAACTTTTTATTCTTTTAAAATTTTTTTTATTTTTAAAATTTTATTTATATGTGACAGCAGAATGCATTATAATTCTTATTACACATATAGAGCATAGTTTTTCATATCTCTGGTTGTATACAAAGTATATTCACACCAATTCGTGTCTTCATACACGTACTTTGGATAATAATGTTCATCACATTCCACTATCATTTCTAACCCCATGCTCCCTTCCTTCTCTTCCCACACTGATAGACAAATTTCATAGGCATATTACAGTTTCACACTCATTGACTAAATATAATCCATGTTCAGAACACTTTGGAAGATATTATAGGAGATGCCAGATTAATAAATGACATGTACCTCAACTTTTAGAATTCACATTTGATGGTGCTGGGGTTGTGGCTCAGTGGTAGAGTGGAGAGGTTTTATTGGAGGTCTAGAAAAGATTTGATTACTGATCGTTTACCTTGACCTTTCATTTAAAGGGATGAGGTTTTGGTTATCAGAATAGAGGGTTAGTTGGACTCTGGGTCCAACTGAGGGATGAAATGTATTTTAACTTTAATACTGCAAAAGTAATAACGTGGTGATTGGAGATTAATTTAATATCAGGAGCCAGGGTTGTGGCTCAGTGGCAGAGCACTTGCCTAGCATGCGTGAGGCACTGGGTTCGATCCCTGGCACCTCATAAAAATAAAAACAAATAAAAATGAAGGTATTGTGTCCATCTACAACTAAAAACAAACAAAAAAAATTTAATATCAAATTTGTTACAGTTATTAAATTGGCTCATTGATAACTTCTCTGCATTATAAAAACTAATCTAAAAGCTTTAGATTTGGTCTAAAAATACTAATGTATTTGTATATTAGGCTTGAATTAACAATTATTTAAAGAATTCATTGTATACAGAAATAGATAATAGCTAGTGTAATTGATAAGATCTATATGAATAGTTATTTTGAAAGCCAAGAATGTATGTAAGTGACCCTATTTGTAGTTAGGTCTTCACATAAGGTTATTGTTCCATTCCTTTAAAAAAATTGCAGCAAGGGCTGAGGCTGAGGCTGTTGGCTCAGTGGTAGCCCACTTGCCTGGTATGTGTGAGGTACTGGGTTCGATACTCAGACCTTTATTTTATTTATTTATATATGGTGCTATCAAAAACTAAAAAAAAAAAAAAAAAAAAAAAAGGGGCATTAAGGGATGCTGGAGATTGAACTCAGGGGCCTCACACGTTATACCACTGAGCTATCCCTCCTGCTCACCGCAAATGTTGTATCAACAAAATGCAAAATATAATATAACAAAACTTAACATCTCCCCCGCACCGATTACTGGGGATTGAACCAAGGGCCTAGCACATGTTAGGTAAGCATTCTACCACTGAGCTATGTCCCCATCCCTTTTAATTTTATTTTGAGATAGGGTCTCGCTAAATTGCTCAGGCTGCTCTTAAACATGTGATCCTCCTGCCTTAGCCTGCTAAGTACCTGGGATCACAGGAGTGCACCACTATGGCTGGCCTGAGTATCATTTTTTTTTTTTTTTTTTTTTAAGGCAGGTCTTTTTTATGAGAAGAATAGAATTCTTTTGTGGGGGAGTGACTTCACTTAATTAGGGTCCAAAATTTCCTATTAAAGTAGATAATAGCATTCATCTGGTGATGCTGATTTGAAGTGAGATTTTATACATTTCAACTTGGAAAACATTTTTCATACACATGAGTGATAGGCATAGTACTTGAAATCCTATGATATGTGTGTGTGTGTGTGTGTGTATGTGTATGTGTATTTGTGTGTGTTTTGCTGGGGATTGAACCTAAGGCCTGTACATGCTAGACAACCACTCTATCACTGTGATACACCTCAACCCAATTTTTTTTTCTTATCTTTTTTGAGACAGGGTCTTGTAAGTTGCCCAACCTGGCCTCAAACTTGTTATCTTGTCATGTCAGCCTCCCTAGTAGTTGGGGTTACAGGTGTGCACCACTGCACCTAGCCTGACATACTCCTAGCACTCCTTGTAGCAGTGTAAAACAATGAGAGCACCACATTAGAAACAGCCTGAAAAAATAGGTGAAGAGATGGAAGTGGCTGTGTTTCAATAAATTTTTATTTATGGATATTAAAATCAGAATTTCAGGTGATTTTTCATGTCACAAAGTAATAGAAAACTGCACAAAAGCATAAATTCTGCATTGAAACATGGAGGGGGGAATGCCTAACATTTGCTAATTTTTAATTTTCATAACTTCTTTTCTAGGAAGATTCCAGATGTTGCACCCATTATAAGTGATCAAAAACCATCTGTATCAAAGTCTGGACGGAAGATTAAAGGAAGGGGTACAATTGTATGTGTGTTAAGACTTCTTTTTTCAAATTACTTACCTAAACAGTAACTTTTTTTTAACCTATAAGTAAAATCCTAGTTTTGATTTTTGATTATAATACAAAAATTGTTCAAGGACTTAGTTGTAGTTTCCATAGCTATGAGAAAGTACTGCTGTTGGGTCAAATTTTATGTCTGTGTTTGGATGAAACAAGGATGAAATGAACATGTGAAACAATTGTTGAGTATGTTGAGAAATCTTAGTATATTGAGTAATCTCAGGTAATGAATGTAACTGTTAAGACTTTGAAGAGTAAGATTTCATATGGGTTTACAGGTAAACATCTGCCTTTCCCATCTCAAGGACTTATGTCTGAAATAACTTCAGATCATTGTTTTAGTACTTACATGATTGCCTTTGAAGGAATCGGAGATTGGATCTTTTACATGTCTCTGTCCTGTAGTAGATTGTAATTGAGAGGCATTTTAAAAATAGTTTCTCTTCTTTTGTTTAAAGCGCTATCACACACCTCCAAGATCAAGATCCTGTTCTGAGTCAGATAATGATGACAGCAGTGAAACTCCTCCTCACTGGAAAGAGGAAATGCAGAGATTAAGAGCCTACAGACCACCTAGTGGAGAAAAATGGAGTAAAGGAGATAAGTAAGAGCTTTGAGAATAAGCACAATCCAGTATCTGCTTTATTTAAATGTTAAGGCAATTATAGGCCTAATCCTGGACTTTTCAGTAAGATTTGTAGTCAGAATTAGACTGTGACCAGAGGGTGAAAGTAGTGCCGTTAACTAGGTGAGATGAATGGCTTTGGGAGCTTTTAAATCAAAATTCTGACTTCTCTCTATTGAATGTTTAAAGAACCCTTACTCAATTTTAGAAGTAATCAGGACTTCAAAATTATATTAGCTGGGTGTTGTGGCACATGCCTATAATTCCAGCTGCTCAGGTGGCTGAGGCAGGAGGATCACAAGTTCAAAGCTAGCCTCAGCAACTTAAGTGAAGCTCACAGCAAAAAAACAAAAAACAAAAACATGTTCTTTCCTAGCCATGTGTTTTAGAGTCACTGATGAATTAATTGGTTGATGGGAAAACCTATACCCAGTGTGTGCATTTATTTCTGTCCCCAGAGATGGTTGCATCTTTAGGAGTATACTTATCTCTTCATCTCAGAGATAACATCACAGTGGAATATCTGTGTTAGAAATGAGGCTGGTCCTGTAATAGCTAATGAAAAAATATACTGGGCTGGGTTTGTGGCTCAGAGGTGGAGCACTCACCTAGCATGTGTGAGGCGCTAGGTTTGATCCTCAGCACCACATAAAAATAAAGGTATTGTGTCCACTACAACTAAATAATAAATATTTAGGGGAAAAAAAAAAAATATATATATATATATATATACACATACATACACACACACACACCCGGCCTGTGCAGTTCTTTGTGGGAAATTCTCTTTTTCTTTGCAAGCATCTGACAGAGTGGCTTGCATTGGGAGAAGTAGAAAAAGGCAAACACCTGCTATGTTGGAGCAACCCACTGGAGCTCAGAGCTCTCAATTTTAAGCCCTGACATTACCACTAAAATCGTAAAGCCTCAGTCCGTTTTTTTATAATTTTTTCTTAATTTTTGTCTTGCATAGCTTAATTACAGTCTTAGGTTATAGTCTTGATTACCTTTGTGAGGTAGAGAAAAAGTAAGTCATGCTAGCTGCTTAAGAAAAAGAGTTTTCTCTTAAAAAAAAAAAAAAAAAACTATAAGGGCTGGGTGTGTGACTCACTGAGTGGTAGAGCTCTTGCTGAACTGTGAGGTCCAGGGATCCATCCCCAGTACCACACCAAAAAAATTAGATATCTTTCTGGTATCTGCAGAGACTCAACAAAATTGTTGGGGAACGTAGTTTGACTCTCCCTCAAAAATTGCTCCTGGTGCCCATGTTGGTGGTGCATCCCTATTATCCCGGTGATTCTGGAGACAGAGACAGAAAGATTGCAAGTTCAAGGTCAGCCGTAGCAATTAGCAAGACCCTGTCTCAAAAAAGGCCAAGGATATAGCTTAGTAGTAAAGTATCCCTGGGTTCATTCCCTAGTGCCCACCCCCCCGCAAAAAATTTTACTCCTAGTGGAAGAGTAGTGTTGAGTAGATTGGAGCCAGGAGCTTGGTATGTCACCTCTGCTCCTATGGTTGGTTGATGGTTTGATTTTCATAGACATTTTCTATCAAATAGGAAATTCCTTACTTAGCTTAAAAAAAAAAAAAAAAACTTTTGTAAGTGAATCTGTTAGTAGTTGTCATTATTTTTCTCTGAAAGTATAAGGTCAAGACAAGGCCTGTAATTCTGATTCATGCTTTTACATGTGTTTAAAGTGTTGATGGAGTCAAGTACTTTGATGTCAACAGGAAATGTGTTTTAAAGCATAGAAATATGCTTATAAATAACTACATGCGTATTATGGCCTTGTCTCTAGGTTGAGTGACCCCTGTTCAAGTCGATGGGATGAAAGAAGCTTGTCCCAGAGATCTAGATCATGGTCTTATAATGGATATTATTCAGATGTTAGTACAGCAAGACACTCTGATGGTCACCATAAAAAACGTAGAAAGGAAAAAAAGGTTAAGCATAAAAAGAAAGCAAAAAAGCAAAAACATTGCAGAAGACACAAACAGACTAAGAAGAGAAGAGTTGTTGTACCTTCTGACATTGAATCTTCAAAATCTTCCACTCGACAAATGAAGTCCTCTTGTGATAGAGAAAGGAGATCTCGATCTTCCTCCTTTTCATCTCATCACTCATGTAAGAGGGACTGGTCTAAATCTGACAAGGATGACCAGAGCACTTCAACCCATTCCAGTAGAGATTCCTACAGATCCAAGTCTCATTCACGGTCTTATTCTAGAGGAAGCTCAAGATCAAGGACTGCATCAAAATCTTCATCACATTCTCAAAGTAGATCAAAGTCCAGGTCAAGTTCCAAGTCAGGGCGCCAAAGGACAGCATCAAAATCACCAAGAAGAACAGCTTCTCAGTTAAGTGAAAATAAACCAGTTAAAACAGAACCTTTAAGGGCAACAGTACCACAAAGTGAAAATGTAGTAGTACAGACAGTGGTAGCAGAAAATATTCCTGTAATACCGTTGAGTGACAGTCCCCCCCCTTCAAGGTGGAAACCTGGACAGAAACCCTGGAAGCCCTCTTATGAGCGAATTCAGGAAATGAAAGCAAAAGCAACCCATTTGTTGCCCATTCAAAGCACTTATAGTTCAGCAAACATTAAAGAGACTGGTAGTTCATCATCCTACCGTAAAAGAGAAAAAAATTCAGAAAGTGATCGGAGTGCTTATTCAAAATATAGTGATAGAAGTTCTGAAAGTTCACCAAGGTCAGGTAGCAGATCTTCTAGGAGTAGATCTTATTCTAGATCATATACAAGGTCTCGTAGTCTAGCTAGTTCACATTCAAGGTCTAGGTCTCCATCTTCTAGATCTCATTCACGAAGTAAGTACAGTGATCGTTCACCGTTTAGTAGATCATCTTCATACACTTCTGTTAGCAGTAATGATGAAAGACGAGCCAAGAGGAAATTCAGATCCAATGGGAAAAAAAATAATACTTCAAATAAAAGGCACAGCAGCAGCTCTGAAAAGACACTTCGCAGTAAATATGTCAAAGGTAGAGAGAAGTCTTCATGTCAGAGAAAGTATAGTGAAAGCAGGTCATCTTTAGATTATTCTTCAGACAGTGAACAGTCAAGTGTTCAGGTTACACAGTCAGTCCAAGAAAGAGAGAAGCAGGGCAAAATGGAAATAATGAACGACAAGCAGGAAAAAAGCAGAGATGAAGAGAAACCCAAGCCTGAACGGGAATGCCCTCGTACCAAAAAAAGAACTTTGAAAGAGAATCTTTCTGATCACTTTAGAAATGGCAGTAAGTCCAAAAGGAAGAATTATGCTGGGAGTAAATGGGACTCTGAGTCAAATTCAGAGCGAGAGAGAACTAAAAACAGTAAAAACGATTCCCGACGATCGTCTGATAAGGAGGAAGGTGAGGCCACATCAGATTCTGAATCAGAGGTTAGTGAAAGTCACATCAGAGCAAAACCCAAGACAAAATCTTCAGCAAATACTTCACTGCCTGATGATACCAGTGCTTGGAAATCGAGTAAACAGCGGCCATCAACTTCTGATTCTGAGGGGTCCTGTTCCAACTCAGAAAACAATAAAGGAAAGCCACGAAAGCACAAACATGGGTCAAAGGAAAATCTTAGAAAGGAACACACTAAAAAAGCAAAAGAAAAACAGAAAGGGAAAAAGGAAAAAAAACACAAGGCTCCAAAACGAAAACAGGCATTTCACTGGCAGCCTCCACTAGAATTTGGTGAAGAGGAGGAGGAGGAGATTAATGAAAAGCAAGTTACTCAGGAATCAAAAGAAAAAACCCAAATTTCTGAAAACTGTGAAACCATAAAAGATCATATTCCAAAAACTGATAAATCCTGTGACGAGGGCAGCCTTTCAGGTAAACATAATACAATGACTACGTCATCAGGTCTTGACCAGCTTACTAAAGGTGATAGTAAGCCCAGCACTTGTCCCACTGCTTTAAATGCTGAGGAAAATGCTGCCAGTTCACCCCCAAACACCCAGCAGATTGAAGAAAGTGTTCCAAGTGGAACAGAGGATGTGCTTCAAACAGATGATAATATGGAGATTTGCACTCCTGATAGGAATTCCCCAGCGAAGGTAGAGGGGTCTTCCCCTCTAGCAAATTCAAGGCTTGACACCCCAGAGATAAGTGTGGTTCTAAAGCAAGACATACATATAGAACATCCTGAAACAGAGGAGACAAAACAAGAAGGCAGTGTGTCTGAAAACAAAACCTTAGGTGAAGTGGGGAAACAGGACGGCAACTCTGTCAGCTTGCCCAGTGCTGTAGAAAGTACTGGGAAGAAGGAGGTAGCTGAGAAGAGCCAGATCCACCTCACAGATAATAAATGGAAGCCCCTGCAAGGTGTGGGGAACCTGGCAGCACCTACAGCCACCACATCTAGTGCCATAGAAGTAAAGGCGTTGACTGCTGTACCTGAATTGAAACCTCAGGGCTTGAGAATAGAAATTAAAAGCAAAAATAAAGTTCGGCCTGGGTCTCTGTTTGATGAAGTAAGGAAGACAGCTCGCCTAAACCGGAGGCCAAGAAATCAGGAGAGTTCAAGTGATGAACAGACGCCTAGTCGGGATGGTGATAGTCAGTCCAGGAGTCCAAGTAGATCTCGAAGTAAATCTGAAACCAAATCACGACACAGAACAAGGTCTGTCTCCTATAGTCACTCTAGAAGTCGATCAAGAAGTTCTACATCATCTTATCGGTAAGCAGTATTCTCTTTCCTTTTTTTTTTTTCCCTTTCAAGGAGAGTTTGTTATTGTTTAGCTGGGAAAAACATAAGAGTTAGGGAAGAGATTACTATTTCCAAATATCTGAAAAGGAATAAGAAGTCTTATTTTGCAAGATCCATAGAATATGGGACTTAGGGCATTTCAGAAGAAATTTGGTCTCAGTTTAAAACACTATTGTTATAGAAAACTATCAAAAGTGGAAATGAGTTGCCTAACTTCCACTTTACTGGCAAGGTGAGTGGGAAGGTGAGTGCCAGAGAGTCAAAAGTTATCTTACCAAGACATGCATCTATAAATAATTATTTGTGGCAATAGGGAAGAAGATGTCAAAATCATCTTTAGATTTTTTTCATCTTCTAGGTTGCTTCTTACTTTTTGTCATTAGTGTAGACAGGAGAGAGCAGAGAAAGAGTTAAAAACAAAACAAAACAAAAAAAGAAAATTGGTGGTGGTAAGAGGTAATAAGTGGTTACATTGCCTTTTCTTTTCCATAGAAATATTTAATTGATTTACCTGTTTTATTCATATCCCCTATTATATTGTGATTGCTTTGTATCATTTGTACTGATTTAATTTAATTTTTTTTTTTTTTGTAGTTGTAGATGGACAGAATACCTTTATTTTATTTTTATGTGGTGCTCAGGATCGAACCCAGTGCGTCACGCATACTAGGCAACCGCTGTGCTGCTCAGCCCCAGCCTTAGCCCTGTACTGGTTTTTTGATCATTTTTTTTTTTTTTCCGTATTCATTAGCATTTCTTTTTCCTTTACTCACCCAGACTTCTTATAAAAGGAGCCACTACTTGCCATCTACAGTGACTTTCTCTACTTCACTCCTCCGTTGCTTGCTTGCTGTCTTCTGTGCCTCCTCTCCACACTGTTCCCTGAACTCACTATTTCCCCACCTACTGGAAGCCCTGGGCCAGTTCTCCTCATTCTTCTCAGACCATTTCATCCTGTGTCACAGGCTCTCCCTCCTCCTGTCCCGACTCCTTCTAGGCCCAGAGAGCTGGTGAATCCTGGCTTTTTCTCTCTGTGTTCTTATCACTGGATGGTGGCTGCCTGTTCAGCTACTCGAGCTTCCTGTTTGCTCATGATCAGCTTTGCCATTTTTACTTAGACAGCTATGATCTATTGGTGATGCAAGCCATTCTTCTTCATTTGCCTTTCTACCCTTGACTTTGGAGTAGGTGGTATCTCATTTAATAAATGGAAACAATAGGCATAAAAATGCTAAGGAATTTGCTCAGTGGGTAGTAGACTGAGATGGTTAAGCCTGGGCACTGCCCTCCCTTCCTTTCTGGTTACCCACCTGGGCCTGGCCCCCCAACTATGCTGTAAACTGCTTGAATTTGAAGACTATGTCTTAATTCTTTTTCAGTCACCTCATAGGATTTATCTGTAATTTTTGTTTGCATAAATTGACTAGAATCTCATTAGAACATACTATATTCATTCTCTTGCAGATAAACTGGAAGCAGGTCGTATATTCCAAAACATAAGTACATCATGAATAAAATCTATGGAGATATTGCATAAGTAGCTATACACACTATTCCTGAATGTCAGGTTTAAAGTAGAGGGAGGAAGGTAGGGAGCCAAGTGAATTCAGAGGAAAAGAACTGGGTTCTTAAATATTTTATTAAATATTTAATATTAAAAATAAGACATGATTAAAGTATAAAAGTAATAAAATGTATAACTTTGTACCTGTCATCTTGAAAAATAGAGCTCTGGGGTGCCAGTGCTGTACCATCCTCTGGTTGTTGCTGAGTTACAACCCCAGCCCCTCTTTTTTATTTATTTTGAGATAGGGTCTTGTTGAGGCTGGGCATTTTTCCTCTCTCCTAGAGTTAACCATTATTCTAAAATATGTGTTATTGTTTTATTTTTTCTCTTTACAGTTTTATTACAGATGTTTCTATTCTCACACAGTGTTATTTTTATGTGTTCTAGAATTTTTTATAAATAAAAGTCTTTTACACATGTGTATGTTCTATACTTGCCCTTTTCACTCAGTGTTGTAGTCCTGACCTGTATCTCTGTTGATACACATAACTGTAATGGAGATTTGGACCATCTCCTCTTTTGGTATTACAACTGGGGCTCCTATGAACACATCTATACCACCCTTTTATGGTTCATTTCCAGATTGCCCCATTAGCAATGTCACTGTCATGTCCACTATGCAGAGTTTGTGAGAGACCTTTCTTCTTGTTTGTATTCCTGTCCTCCACCTGTAATTAATTTTAACATTATGAGTTAATATAATCGTGTGTTTTCTCACTTGTTTTAATTGTAGATCAAGAAGCTATTCTAGAAGTCGGAGCAGAGGATGGTACAGCAGAGGTCGAACCCGAAGCCGGAGCAGTTCCTATCGGAGTTACAAAAGTCACAGGTGAGTTTGTGGTCTTGCCCCACACTGTGGTCTCTATCAGGACTGCTTTTGAAGGGTTTGCATAGGCAGAGTGGTGTAGCCATTAAGAAGAACCTTATCATTGCTGAACATCAGACTGGCCTATCGTCTCCTCTAGTTTTTTGTTTATTTGTTTGTTTATTTATTTATATTGTTTTAGTTGTAGGTGGGCACAGTGCTTTTATTTTATTTATTTATATTATGTGGTGCTGAGGATGAACCCAGTGCCTCACATATGCTAGGCAAGCCCTCTACCACTGAGCCACAACCCCAGCTCTCTTAGCTTTTTATTTCAAAGACTTATGGAATTCTTTTGGATAGTCCTCTGATGGGACCTTATCACAGTAAGGCATGAGAAAAAAAAAAGAAGCCTGTGACCACTACTTCTGCCTTCTCCAAATGCATCTCCTTAACTGTAGTCTCTAGCTATAATCACCCCTTGCCTTGGGGTTAGCATTGTGATAGGATTATAGGGAGTAGACCAAGAGGGAGAAGTCTGTGTTAGCCACATTTCTAATTCACCAGCTTCTTTCCCCCTTTGGACTCTGAGGTGTGCTCCACTGCTGTAACTTCATTTATGAGTGACCTATCTATTTGGACCTTTCCCCCTCCCCATCTAGTTCACAGACCCTCTCCAGTGACTTTATGTACATCTCATGGAAGAACTGTATAAAACTTAATCTTTCTTCAGAAACCAATGGCTTTTAAAGATTCTAGTGTACTTGGATATAAAAAGAAAATATAGTTGGGGCTGGGGTGGTGGCTCGGGGGTAGAGTGTTTGCCTAGTATGCGTGAGGCACTGGATTTGATCCCTGGCACCACATAAAAAAAGTAAAATAAAGGTATCATGTCCATCTACAATTAAAAAAATATTTAAAAATATATAGTTACAAGATGTTGCTCTATTTTCACTTTAATGGACAAAAAAATAGTCTAGAATTTTTATATTGCCTGCCTTACTCTGATCCACAAGGTGATGGTCTTTCCTGTGATTCATACTAGGACATCTAGCAGGAGCAGATCCAGGAGCAGCTCGTATGATCCCCACAGTCGCTCCAGGTAAGGACAGGAATTGGGTACCCACCCACAGGGGAAAATTGGAGAGGCTTCATTTTATAAACTCTCAGTTCAAAGTGTGGTGGACATTTTTTTTTTTGTTTTGTTTTGTTGTGATTTTGGTGTCAGGGATTGAACCCAAGACTTCACACATGCTAGTAAGCATATGCTCTACCACCGAACTATACCCACCACCTAGCATGTTGTTGGTTTTTTTGTTCTTTTGTTTTTTATACTAGGGATTAAACCCAGGCACTTAACCACTGAGTTAAGTCCCCCAACTCTTATTTATTTATTTTTAAAATATTTTTTTAGTTGTTGATGGACCTTTATTTTATTCACTTATTTATACATGGTGCGGAGCTACAACCCCAGCCCCTCTTTTTTATTTATTTTGAGATAGGGTCTTGCTAAGTTGCTGAGGCTGGGCTTGAAATTAGTGATCTTCTCACCTCAGCCTGCCAAGTCATTGGGATTACAGAGACATATCACCATGCCCAGGTCACATTGTATTTTTTATTGAAGAAGTTAAATGTATATGTGTCTTCTGTAATCATACCATTTGTAAATGAGATCTTTTTGACAGTTTTTATCTGTCAGCCCATTATACTTCAGTGTCAGAATTATAACTAATATAAAATGGTAATACCAGGTGTTTGTTGAATATAATTGCCTAATAAGATCTATGAGATTCAGTCAAACTAACTCAGTGTTAATTTTGTGATATTTTTCAATGCAGAAAAGAAACATTTTTCTCTTTAACATGGTAAGTCTGATTTAGGGCAATTACTAAATGTTTCTAGTACTTGTTATACAACTGTGTCCTCACACTGTCATTGAGTGCCTGTGTTCTAAGTTAAAACACTCTTAGAGACTTACAAAGAAATGGAAATCTCTGTGAATATTTGAATGGGAAAATTTAGTGTGTGTTGTTGCTGTTGAAGCAGGTCTTACACTTATGATAGCTACTACAGCAGGAGTCGGAGCCGAAGCCGGAGCCAGAGGAGTGACAGTTACCACCGAGGCAGAAGTTACAACAGGCGGTCCAGGTGGGTCCTTTAGAGCACATCTAGTTCTTAATCTAAACTGGGTTCTTTTAAGTATTCACATATCATTGAACAAATACTTCTTTTAGAAGGAGTAAAGGGAAAAAACAACAAACCATGTCCTACTTTCTTAAGTTGGGTTACTTGCTAGAAATAGCCAATTTGTCATTTTTTAAAACAAAGAAATAAAATAAATGTTAATATCAAGCCAAGCATGGTGGCACATGCCTGTAATCCCAATGACTCTGGAGGCTGACACAGGAGGATTGCAAGTTCGTGGCTAGCCCCAGAAATTTAGCAAGGCCCTAGTAACCTAGTGAGACCCTGTCTCAGTCAATCGGTCATTCAATCAACAGTCAGCAAAAAAGGGCTGGGGATGTAGCCCAGTGGTAAAGCACCTCTAGGTTCAATCTACTGGACACAAGGGAAAAAAAAGAAAGAAATGTTAATCATCATTGTTCCAGTGGCAGAATGGAGGTTTAGAGTCAATTATTTAGTAAAATATATTTTTCATGCAAATACACACACACACACACACACATATATTATGTTGTATGTAATGTATTTTGGCTACTGCAAAAGTCTTTATGGTGACTTTTGTAATGTTTCCTTACAGTGATCTGGACATTCTATTGCTAAGATGGTTCAGGGACTCACTGCTGTCTTCAGTTAGGCTCAGGCTCCTTGTCATTGCATGCAAGGTTCCACCACTTATGAACACCATCTCTGACTCTTGATCCCTGTGTCTCTCCTTTGATGTGCTGAAACCTTTCTTTCTGCCTAGAGACATAAGTGCCCTCTCCACCATCCCCCATTTTGCCTCTTAAAATAACTAATCCTACCTACCCTGCAGGTCTCTACTGCAACTCCACTGCCCCTGGGAGTCAGGAAATACAGCCCCTCCAATGTGCCTCTGAAGCAGACTTTGCTCCCCTGGGGTTCTCATTGCCTCTAATTTAATTGCTTTGCACACTATTCTATATTATCCTTGAGCCCCAGAAACTATATTATAGTCACCTGCCCCACCTCCCCTTTGATGCCTACTGTGACACTCAATATATTTTTTTAACTAACTGAAGGGTGACCTGTGACCAGGTCCTCTTGAGTCAATATCCCAGTGGCCTCGTTCATGTACAGATCCATTTCTACACCTCATTGGGCCCAAATTTTGGTGTCCATTCCTTCAATGAAACTATTTATGCATCTTCCCCCTACTTAACTTCCTTAGACTAGCTAATCAAATATTGATCATTTTGGGTAACACAGAAAATTATTTTGCTTCTCCGCATGAATGGATTTCAAGTAAATGTCACAAGTATGAAGTTTTTTGTTTTGATTTTTGGTACTGGGGATTGAACTGAGGTATGCTTTACTACCGAGCCACGTCCCCAGGCCTTTTTAGTTTTTTTTGTGCTAAATTGTGAGACTTTGAATTTGAAATCCATCTGCCTCAGCTTCCCAAGTGCTGGAATTACAGGCCTGTGCCATTGTGCCTAGTTCTTTATTTTATCTTAATCTTGATATTGCTACCATATATCATTTTAAACATCCTGAAAAGTCCATAGTAAAAGCCATAGTCAGAACTGTACTTGTCTATCCCCTGCGCTTGCTGTAGCAATAGTGTTTTGAAGTCACTTATATCAAAAACAAAGCTCCAAGAGGAATTGAAAGGGTGGATAGTTAAAAGGTTTTCGTATGTTTTGTTTTGTTATACAGGAGTTGTAGATCTTATGGCTCTGACAGTGAAAGTGACCGAAGTTACTCTCATCACCGCAGCCCCAGTGAAAGCAGCAGATATAGTTAAAAATGTCCTTTTTTGATACAAATTATATCGTATTTGTAAATATCTGATAACTTAAAAAAGTTTAAGAAACTTAATGGCAGTCTGTTGTTCTATTTCAGTATTAGAGATGAATTTCAAAGACAATTGTTATTCATTTACATGTGTAGAATAATTTAAAATACAGATGTCTCCTAGAAATATTTTTATGCCACATTTTACAGTAGCCAACTTTGGAATTTTCATTTTCTTGAATCAAGAAATTGTGAAATCTATGTAAGTATAATTTGCAATATTATTTTAGGTAGACTATTTCTTTCCATCTCATGTATTCCTAAGAATACAGATTCTTTTTGCCCATTTTTCAGGTTTTAGCATACATGCTGCCAAGCATAGAACTGTGAAGAAGAACTGTTAAAGGCGGCCAAATGTTTATATACCAGTTGTACAGTCTTGTAAAAACAAACCACCCGAATCCATACCAATGGTAACCAGGAGCATAAGGCAGTGTGGCTCTGGGGTTCTTAATTCATACATTGCTTCTTTGCTGGCTCAATCAGGAAAGCAGTCATCATACTGCCCACAGTCTGCATTCTTTCAGGCTGGTGGACAAGGTTGAGAAGAGAAAATCAGCCTTAACTATAAATACCTGCACTGTCTCTAAGGAATTAGTACTTTGTGTGCTTTTTAATAAAGACTATCAGAAGTTTAGATTATAAAAAACAATTCTATTCCAGTTCATGCTTTGGTGCTTGGTACCTTTTGGTGCCTCTCTAAGCATTATTCTTACATATTCCACATAATAATACTATGAGAATAAGGAATTTCTTTTTAAATCACTGGCACTGAAAATGGTTTCTTCTGAGCTGTCTTCACTTTGAATATTGAGGGGCTTCTCTCAAACATATGTGGGTTGGGGTCCCCTGGAGCAGGCAGGATTGGCAGTGGTGGGGTGGCCACTTAGGTCTACACATGTGTGTGCTTGTGGAAGAGTGGATTAGAAAGGGAACTTCAAGAATAACACTGGAACCTTAGCTGCCACCATCCTGGAGCCATTTTACAGGGTTTTACTTTGAAGTCTTTCAAGTAAAGAATGTACCACAGAGGCAGCAGAACAGTTCCAACAGCATGTTTTTCTCATTTGTGTTGCAACCCACTAGTTCAGTAAAGCCTTGCTTGGCCTGAGTGAACCAGAAGAGAGGGCTGTAGAGTACTGTATGTCATATTTCCAAGGCTTTGGGTGTTCCTCCAAAAATAATTGGACCTGTGAAAACTAGTGTTGATTTTTTTTTTTTTTTTAATCTTCAATTTGAATTTCCCCCCCAAGTGTACTTAATCACCTTAGTGCCAATTTAATCCAGTTATGCAGGACAAATTCATTTTGAATGTTGGTGTAGAAGTCTGTGCCATCCTGCCCCAGACCTTGCCTGGTGTATTTGGGAAGTGGAAAAGAGCCCTCAGATGAGGGATATGACAACCCTGGATGGATGGGAGGGCTCACTCACCACATTGGAGGTACTGTAATTCTTGTCCAAGGGTTGGGGAGTGTAGCTCAGGGGTGGAGCATGTGCTTAGCATGCCTCCTGAGTCCCAGGATTCAGTCCCCAGCACCAAAAAATATATACAGCTGTCAACCATGGGAAGTAGGTAAACCAGATTAGGTGGTCTATTATTTATCAAGTCAGAAGATAGAAGTACATTAGGAAACAGAACTAAATAAAAAATCAGTACTTGATCACACAATACAGAACAATGTTTGATTGATTCATATTAAAGATTTTCAAATATTGCCTTCAAAGGCGGATACTGTTTTAATAACACTAGTCGGTGGGGGAAAAAAAATGCATTCAGAACCCAAAAAGAAACTACTAAATCCAATTAGGTTCAGAAAAGTTACTCTTGGGCAGTATATGAGTTGTTACTGTATGACAAATTCTTCCAAATTCAGTAGTTTAAAACAACACCCTTTTTTTTTTGGTTCATAATTCTGCAGCTTGCAGGTCCAACATGGTATAGCTGGATTTTCAAGTCTAACAGACTGAAGTCAGGGGTGGGAAGGGCAACTTTCCTTTATGAAGACTCTGAGGAAGACTCTGCTTCAGGCTTGTTCAGATTGTTAGCAGAATACGTTTCTTGCTCACCTCAGAAAGGGGACTTTTGACTCCTTTAAGGCTGCCCACATTCCTGCTGGTGTAGGCCCTGCCACTTTCAAACCAACAGTGGCCCTTCCAGTCCTCCTGCTTCTCATGCTACAAATCTACCTTCCTCGTGTTTTAAGTTCCAGGTGATGAGATCAAGCCCCAGATATAATCTCTTTTAAGGTCAATTGTGCCATAGAAATGATGTAATAAAAGGAGTGGTATCATATTCACAGGTTCTGGGGGCTGCTAGTGTATAGACGGCAGAGAGGCAGTGACTTTGCCTACGCCTTAGTTGTGGGTTGGATTTTATCCTAAAAGGGTAGAAGCCTCGTGTGTTTTCTCTACAGACAAGGATGGCCCTCTGCTCAAGTATTCAACTTGTGTGTTTACTGAAGTGAGCTACAGAAATAGCTTTTCTTCCTAAAAGGGGATTGTTCTGTATTTTGAAGTTATTTTTTAATAAAACTGAATTATGTCATATAATGTGCTTCTTAATAGAAAATCATTATTGGACTGGTTTTGTAACGCCCTGTTTACTGCAAATGAAATAGCTGGTATTGTTCAAAAAATATAGAAAATACTTTTGTACATACTAGCAATGTCTAATTTGTATACACCTCAATTTCCCTAAAACTTGAAAGGGGGACCTTGTAGAAATTAAAATATATACTTAGTCTAAATCTGTCTGTGAATGTTTCATCTTTAAGTATTAAGTTTTAGGTGGACACAATATATTTTACATTTATGTGGTGCTGAGGATCTAACCCAGTGCCTTGTGCATGCTAGGCGAGCGCCCTACCACTGAGCCACAATCCCAGCCCCGTTTCATCTTTCTTTACTCACCCAGATTTCAACTAGTTTGTCTGAAATGGGAAAAATAAACCACTGAGCATCTTGGCTGACCTAGCCAGTGAAGAGACCTTCTCTCTGTTTGCAGCTTACTGTCTTCTAGCTGTGATTTAGTGGTGGGGTAAGAAATGGAGCCCGGGAGAATGTTAGACAGAGCTGTTACCCTACAGAAATAGGCATCAATGGCGCTTGCTCTCCCTCTGGAAATTCCAGATTTCCTTTAGGCTTTGTCATCCAGCTGAAGTGACCTGCATACAGATGTCTCTGCTGAGGAGGAAAGATGCCCAACCCATCTGTGATTTGCTGCCTAGGGACAGTCTGTGTACTCTCCATCTCCCCCTTCCCCAGTAGCCGTTTACCAGGCAGCACAGCAAGCACCAGGCAGCCAGCAAGCAAGCGAGGGGCAGATTCTCACTCACCTCCAGAGACAGCATTCATGGTGATATTTTTAACACACACATGAGAATTTCCCAGGCAAGTACAATTAACTTTCTCCTCAGAGCTCAAAGGAATGTGTTTTCTTAGTGAATTAGCATAACTTTTCACTTGCAGATATCGAGTTCTAAATTAACACTGGACTCCCAAGTTCGACAACCAAAAATTGTCAAATCTGAATGTTTTGCTTTAAATTTTAAAGAAAACGGTAGAGTGTGTTAACTGTGGGGAAATCCCCTCAGGAAGTTCTTCATGTTCTTATTTTGCAGTGAGTTTTTATATACATTCTGAGATACTGATAAGCTTGATTAGTTGGGCCATATTGGGAAATGTGTCAGGGGCTTTGGTCTTGACTTCTGAATTAGCTAATTCAGAAGGCATTAATTGGACGGAAAGAATTCAAGGAGAGCTGGGGTTGTGGCTCAGTGGCAGAGTGCTTGCCTCTCACATGGGAGGCACTGGGTTCGATTCTTCACACCACATAAAAATAAACAAAATAAAGATATGTGTCCATTTGTAGGAGAGAAAAAAAAAGAATTCAAGGAAAATGCCCCTCTTTGCAGTCATAATACTGAAAGAGAAAGGAGGCTCTGCTTGGTGTTAGAAGCCTAGCAGCAAGTGTTCAGCCTTGAAGGACTTTTGCAAACTAGCATGGCCAGGTGGCAGCCTTGGAAGCCATGCCTCACAGGGTGGCAGGGATTGGCTTCGGATTTCCAAAAGACACTGGTTTTAGCAGTTGGAATTGATTGCTGCTACTGCAGACAGACAGAGGTGAGAGCGCACATTCCCAGGAGGGGCTTAAGAGTGAGCTGGCAAGGGGGGGGGGGGACCTCAGCTAGGCTCTATGAAGGCTGCAGTCTCTTTAGTGTTGGGAGGGAGCTGGATACCCTGAAGACACCTGATCCCTGTAGTGCTGAGAGGCTTCAGTGCCTGAAGGCACAGGCAAGAGCCTTTGTGGCCACACACAGGGACCAGGGCTTTCATGGTCTGTTTTCTTTCAGAGTTCTGACAGCACAGTGCCACCCTGCTGCAGCCTCCCCTCCTTGTGGGTCAGAGGCCCCCTGTGGGTGCTCACCTCTCTATGGGTAGCAGCAATCAACACCAACTAAAAACCAGTGTCGTTTTGGAAACCTGAAGCCAGTCCTGCCACCTTGTGAGGTGTGGCTTCCAAGCTGTGCCTGGCCATGCTAGTTTGTGGCCAAGTTAGGGGCCAGGGACAAGCACTCTGCCTCTTGGAGGCCCAGACCCACTACTCACCATTTGTGGCCCATTGGGCTCCATTTAGCTCAGCTCTACAGCATGCAGGAAAGACCCAGGCCAGTGAGGGGGATCCCTTCAACCAGGCAGAGCCATGAAAACATGGAAGGAGTGACCTGAGGTCTCAGGGACAAACTCCTGTACTCTGCATCTTGGGCCCTGACCCTGGGCCTCTGATTGCACGTTTGATCTGCGGTCAGTGGCCCCCTTAGCTCATGAGCCCTAAAAGGGTATGTGTGACTGCTGCAACCAGATGTGATAGATAACTAAGGGTGCTCATCTCAGACCTGCCTCCCATTAGGCCAGGCCCAGAGTGTTTCAACAGCCCCAGGTCACCCAGGTCCTCTAGCAACTAAAGTCTACCACCAGGCCAGATTTCTAGGGGAAGCTGAAGAAAAAACCCTACTGACCTCACATTTCATGCCTGAAGGATCTGTGGTGGATAAATGCTTAGAACCAGTCATCTATCAAAGTGGCCCAGGGGTCACCACCTCTAGGAAGCGTGGAGTCCCACCACATTCATGGTGGATGGGCCAGGCTGAATCCCTAGTGAGAGTCTGGGGTCTCCTCTTGAACCAGCAGGGCAGGAGAGGATTCTACAAGCTGCCAGGAAGGCCTGGAATGCCAAGGTCATGATGTTGATGCTAGGAAAGGGGACCAGGCAGGCTGCTGGTTTGCATTAGGCCCCACCCTGGGGCAGCTGTAGCCTATTAGTGCTGGGCCCAGACGATGCAGAACAACACAGGCACAACCCCACACCCAGGAGATCTAAGGCCCTGGGTCAGCTCCCAGTGGGTGGCTTTGAACTTTCCTGCCGCCCCTACCAGCCCCATGCTGTGTTCCTTCCTCCCTCAGCTCAGCTCCACGTCCTGGAGGGAGGCTGAGCCCTGCACTCTGCCCTCCCTACCGCAAGCAGAACTTGTTCTTTCCAGGTTCTGGGGGGGGGGGGGGGTGTGTGAATCTAGCCAAGCCTGGGGATACTCCAAGCACAATCTGAGGCATGGAGCCTCCTTATCATGAGAGAGAAGCCAAGGGCTAGGTACTTGGTAAGTTTCGAGAAATCCCAGGAGCTGTACTTCAGAGGCAGGGGCATGGCTTTACTGACCACCACCATTCAGCTCCAGGTGGCTTACTGAGCTCTGCCCTTGCCAAGTGAGTGTTTCTGCAGACTCCGGACTCCCTGGGGCACACAGTTCTGGTCTAGGATCCTCCTCCCTGCAATTCAGTCCCACCCACCCCTCCAGGAGGTAAAGTTCCCTGTGTGTCCCTCACCAGGCCAAGACAGTGCTGCCTGTCCGCCAGCTACATACTCCCACTCAAAGAGTGTGTTGACCCCACTGCACCCATCTCTCCAGTTCCCTGCAGTGATACCCTGTTTCCTCCCAGGCTCTGCAGTAGTACAGCTGAGGGGAGCAGCCCTTTGGGTCCACCAGACTCCGCTCACACGGCTTCTTGACAGGTCTAGTGTACCCAGGCACCAGTGTCCCACAGAGCTCAGGCTCTGCCTTGGACCTGCAGCCCAAAAAGCAAGAGGAGAGCAGCTGGAGCCTTTGGGGACACTGAGCACTTCCATCTCCCTTCTCACCAATCTCCAGTCCCTCCTCCAGCCTGGTTGCCATAGCCAAGATTATTCTCAAAAGGACCAGCCTCCCTCCCTTGGTCACACTGGCCACTCTTGGCCAAGCTGTGGCTGGATGTGGGTCTAGGAGTGTCCCACGCAGCCCAGCCAGGCTCCTTCCAGCCCACAGGAGGTGGCACTCAGCCTTTTTGTTTTGTTTTGGTACCAGGGATTGAACCCTGCGGCACTTAACCACTGAGCCACATCCCCAGCCCTTTTTTGTATTTTTTTTTTCTTTAGAGACAGGGTCTCCCTGAGTTGAGGCTGGCTTTGAACTTGGAATCCTACCTCTCAGCCTCCCAAGTCTCTGGGATTACAGGTGTGTGCCACGGTGCCCAGCTTCCCAGCCCCACTTTTCTTTAGCTTCTGACCCTGATGTCTGTCTGCTTGACTTATCTCACTCTGCCTCAGTGTCTACATCTAACCAAACAGTTCGCAGCCCCTTCTTTGCCATCTCACAAGTAATGCAAGGATCCACATTGAATTGGATGAGGAAGCGGGTTGGGAGGGAAGAGACAATGTAGGCCAGGGGCCTCTTGGAGCTGAACCAGCTGCCAGAGGCCTCCTAGATGCCCAAGCTCCAGGGGCATGTCCAGTTTGGGCCCCTTACGTTCTGATCTCATCTCTTTCTACCCAGTGAGTGTGTCTTCTCCTCTCCATTGACCGTGTGCACTCCTCCCCTTATCCTGGGCATTCTGTTGACCCCATCTCTGTCCCTGAGACATTTTCTCCTCCTCCTTCTTGAGGGTCTCCCCATTCTGGCCCTTGCTATCTTACAGGACAGGCCATCAGGCTATTTCACGGTGCCAGCCTAGGACTCTGCCTCTGCTCCATTCCCTCTCCCAACACCCAGAACAAATCATCCCGGAGCAGGCCCTAGATTCCCTGCTCACCCATGAGCAAGGTGGCAATCCCTGGGGATACTGCTGCAGCTGGCACAAGCCTGTCGGTGAACCAAGTGCACTTGTGTGAGAGGGTTGGGGTGACCCAGGGTGGGGCAGCAGTCAGCTTGGGGTCAGGGTGGGGATGCAGACAGGCATCAGAGTGATGACATGGGGCAAAGGAGAAGCCCACAGAGGCCTCCTCTCCACAATGGTAGCCCCAGTCACCACCTGGACTCTGCCAGGCCAGTACCCCATGGTCCCCACCCAGCTGCCTGCTCAGTCTGGCAAGGTTCCTTTGCAGCCTCTGGCAGAACAGCCAGCCCCCTGCCCCCACGGGTGTCCGTGCCAGAGCAGCATTCCGCAAGCCTGGCTGCATCTCCCCAGCAGAGGCTGGGCAGGGAGGCCACTCAGCAGTGATCAGGTCACAAGGCTGGGGGAACCCAGTGGGGCCTGGGCCTCTGGCCCCCACCTCTCTGGTCCCACCATCTCCTCCTGGTTCTGGGCCAGTCACTTTAAAGGATTTAATTACTGCAACTGTGCTTGGGGGTCTTACATCTGCGGCTTCCAGAGTAGGCCACCAGGTAGGTATGGATCAAGGAGAGACAAGTCCTGGAGGCACAGAGTAAAATGAGCCCTGGGCTGCCCTGGGGACCCCAGACTCACCCCCAAGTCAGCAGCCCAGGCCACAGGATGGGGGTGGCAAGCGAGGCTGGGGTGCGGGGCTCGGTCCCTCCGCGTAGGATCGCTCTAGGGGAGCAGGTGGAAGTCTTTTCAGCGGCAAGTTGGGGGCCAGGCGCGCCCAGCTTCCCGATTTCAAGGCAGCCTCCTACCCTGGCCCCGCCTCCGTGGTGCAGCTGGAGGGCATCGAGGTTAGATTCCGGGACGAACTTCCCGGCACAGGGGGTGCTCGGCGCGGGAGGGTGAGCCGGGGTCAAGCTGCTCGAATAGGAACAGGGGGGCCTGGTTGGGGGCCGGCGGCCGAGGCAGAGGGGGCTGCGCGGGACAGCACCCACCACGCGCGTCCGCGCCCCCCGCCGGAGCGCAGGACGGCCTGGCCCTTTAAGCGTCCAGACGGCGGCCCCAGCTGACGCGCGGGCTCCAATCGGCGCCCCGCGCCCCCCGCCCGCCGCGCCCGAGGCTCCGGGCCGCAGCTGCTCGGCGTCCGACTCGCCGCGGCCCTGCGCCTCCGCCCGCCCGGCCGCGCCCCCGGGGCCATGGTCGCGGGGCCCTGCGCGGGGGCGGCCCCCAGCGCGGCGCTTCATGGAGCGGCCCCGGCCCGGCCGCCGGGGGCAGCGCGATCCCGCGGGGCCCTGTGAGCCCCCAGCGCCACGGCACCATGGTACGCAGGGCCCTGCCTGTCCCCCCGCTTATCCGCCCACCTGCCAGCTCTGCCTTCCCGAACGCACGGCCCGCGGGCTCGCGTGAAGGGCTGGAGCGATCTTGCCCCTCCCCCGGTCTTCCCGACCCCATCTGCCGGGTCCCCGCGGGCCGGAATGCAGCGCTACGGCGCCGCTCTTGGCGGGGAGGGGGTTAAATTCCTGGGGTGGGGGCACCGGCGCGAGAGGCTGAGGTCTTGCTCGGCACGGGCGGAGGGGGCGCTTCCCTGCGCCCGGGACGGCGCCGCCCTCCGGCTGGGTGATGGGGGGAAGGGGACTCGGATTCCCGCCCGGGCCTTGGGCCACGTGGGCGCTGGAGCCGCCCAGCCTGGGGATTGAGGGTGGCTCGGGCCAAGGGCTGGGGGTGCCCCTAGCTCCGGTCCAAACTCCTGTGTGACCTTGGGCCAGTCCCCTGCCCTCTCTGGTCTGCTTGCCAGGGGAGGAGGAGAGGCAAGGGCAAAGAAGACTGGCATAGACACCCCACAACCAAAAGCAGGATCCTAGAGGTCACCAGCTTGTGCCCCCTTGCTCAGCCTGGGCTCACCCACTGCTGCCCAGGGATGAAAGGGTGGACACCAGCTTAGGGAGGCACAGATGGATGCCCCAGGTGTCATTCCGGGGCCTTCCTGGAAGTGAGGCCAGTACCCCTCAGGTGTAGCTCTGCAGCTTCAGCAGGTGTCTTCTGACTTGGGAAGGGCTTAAGGGCATGAGATCCCCTGGCCCCAGGGTGCCTGACCACCCTCCTGGTCCTGCATCTTTGCCAGGAGAGTGGCCTGGGCTGGGGCTGGGGTGTGTGGCTGCAGCTGGCACAGCCAGATGGGGAGGGGCATCCCCAGCTTCAGAGTACTGGCACATCTGGCTGGGGAGGCCAGCACAGCTGGTGGCCACCGCAGAGGAGGGGCCATACAGGGAGCAGCTGTGCCCTGCTGAGGGGCTGCCACTTAGGGATTCCGGCAGCATCTCTGTGCCCAGGATGTGACTATCGTGACTGGGCGGACGGCCTTAGGATGGAGTCACTGCCCTCCTCTCCCTCCTGAGGCCAGAGGGCTGGGGCGCACGGAAGGGTGTTTCATAATGGCTGAACAGAAGGGATGGAGCCTCCTGATCTGAAATGGGCTACCCCTAAATGGCCTGGCTTTGGGGAGCCCTTACTCAGGCTGCTTTCCCTGGAGGCCCTAAGGAGACCCTGTCCCTGCCTAAATTGTTCCCTGACCCTTCACTGACGTGTGGGGCAGTGGCTCTGAGGAAGAGGTGGCAGGTGGAGGGTTGAGTGGAGTTTGGGGAAGTACCACTGGTCCCTGGCTGGGAGAAGCCTCCTCCTGCTTAGCCAGTCATCTGATCACAGGAAATAGTGCCCCGTCCAGCAAGGCAGACATGGCTTGGCCAAGCTGGGAGGCCAAGCTGGGAGGCCAGGGCTCTGGACTGTGGACCTTGCCATTCTGAGCCTTGGTTTCCCCATCTGTGCAGTAGAGGTTGATCCCAGAAGATGAATCAGGATGAGTCAGAGGAGGGAGATGGGAGGGGCTTGGTGCCACGTCCTAGTTAGATTGGCCAGGCTTGGACAGGCCAGCAGGTCTGGGACAAAGGGGGGGCCGATGGTGGCTTCTTGGCTGGGGGAAAGGGTATGGTGGGAGAACTCAAGGAAGATGGTGTCCATGGCTTGTGGCCTGGCCAAACTAGGATCTGAGAGAGCGCAGCGTGGGTGCTGCTCTGGACTGTGGCTGCAGGGGGCAGGGTCCAGGGTATGGCTAGAAGCAGGTGGCCCTTGCTAGCTTGTTAAGTTTCATCCCGAGGCTGTACTCATTCAGGTGACTGTGGAGTTGGGCTGGACATCACCATGCCTGTCCAGTCTGGGCCCACCCGCTGCTGCCCCAGACAAGGAAGGATGGCAGGAGGCAGGGCCCATCTCAGGTCCTCTAAGGAGGTACTGGTTTTGTGGCTTTGGGGCAAAGTACCTCAAATGAGGGAGGCTCTGCCCAGCTGAGAAGGCCCGAGGCCAGTCAGAACCTAGAATCTGTGGGGTTGGTCTGCCCAGCAGGGAGTCAGCGGATACTAATGGAACATCTGCTGTGCACTGGAACTGGGCAGGCTGTCCGTCTGCACCCCCATCTTCTGGGGAGTCTGCTGTGTCGGGGCCACGGATGGTGGGTTGGCTCCTATTCAGGGTAATTCATATGTTCTGAATATGGCTCCCTGGGCCTCAGAGTCTGACCTATCAGACCTTGAGGGCCTCCCCAGGGCTCGCCAGGTGGGTGGCCTCCAAGGTAGGGCCATCCTGGAGCCTCTGGGCCTGGGCTATCCCTGACAGGGAGCTGCTGGGCCGTGGGCAAAGGGGCGCAGCAGAGCAATGAGTGAGCTCTGGAGCTCTCCAGCCTCCTTGGGAGGGCTACAGGAACAGGGTGAGGGAGAGAAACGTCACAAAGTCTCCTGCAGCCCTTGGGCCTGGGCCCACTACTGGCGAGGGAAGGGGCCCTGGGTGCTGCCTGGTGGTCAGCAGAGGCCGGGCAGTGAGTGAGCGAGCTCGCCTGACTCCTGTTCTCGAGGTGCTTGGGTTGGGCCGGCTTTTCTTCCCTTGTGTGAGTAGTTGAGGGGGAATCCACGAGGCTCAGGAAAGGCTGAAGGGGTGTGTTGGAGGAAGAGGAAGGGCACAGTGAGCAGGATCCTTCTAGGTTTGCCTGGGACTCTCCTGGTTCTAGCACTCAAAGTCCTGCCTCCCAGGACACCCCATCTGCCCTGCAAACCTGAATGGGTGTCACCAAAGTCACCTTTCCTCCTGTTCCCTTCCTATCCGACTCTTCCCATTCACAGAGGAAGAGCCCCCCAGGCCCAGGAAAGTTCCTGGCTGGCCCAGGAGCTCATCTTCAGCCTGGGGGGTCTGAGTTCTGCAGGCAGCTGGCCCAGGCTGGCACCCGCCCTCCACCTCCTTGCTCAGCTTGGACTCCTTCCTCGCAGGGTGGAGCCAGGAGATGGGCTGCCTCCCTCCCTGATAGCGGGCGCAGCTGTGGGTGGGCAGGGGCCGCTGCCCTTGACCTCTGCCGTGCCTCTGCCTCCGCAGTTGCTGGTTGAGAAGACAACCGACTCACCAGCGGTGGAGTTCTCGCTGGTGGAGGACGTGGCGCTGCACTTCGCCTGCTTGATGGGCCGTCTGAACGAGCAGCGGCTCTTCCAGCCCGACCTCTGTGACGTGGACCTGGTGCTGGTGCCCCAGCGCAGCGTCTTCCCGGCGCACAAGGGCGTGCTGGCCGCCTACAGCCAGTTCTTCCACTCGCTCTTCACCCAGAACAAGCAGCTGCAGCGCGTGGAGCTGTCCCTGGAGGCGCTGGCGCCGGGCGGCCTGCAGCAGATCCTCAACTTCATCTACACGTCCAAGCTGCTGGTCAACGCCACCAACGTCCACGAGGTGCTCAGTGCCGCCTCCTTGCTGCAGATGGCCGACATTGCCGCGTCCTGCCAGGAGCTGCTGGACGCCCGCTCCCTCGGACCCCCGGGCCAAGGCACCGTGGCTCTCGCCCAGCCGACGGCCAGCTGCACCCCGGCCACGCCACCCTACTACTGTGACATCAAGCAGGAGGCTGACACCCCGGGCCTGCCCAAGATCTATGCCCGTGAGGGCCCCGACCCCTACTCGGTGCGTGTGGAGGACGGGGCTGGGACCGCTGCTGGCACAGTGCCCGCCACCATTGGGCCAGCCCAGCCTTTTTTCAAGGAGGAAAAAGAGGGAGGTACTGAAGAGGCCAGAGGGCCCCCGGCCAACCTCTGCAAGCTGGAGGGTGGTGAGGAGCTGGAGGAGGAGCTCGGGGGCCCTGGCAGCTACAGTCGCCAGGAGCAGTCCCAGATCATCGTGGAGGTGAACCTCAACAACCAGACTCTGCACGTGTCCACAGGGCCCGAGGGGAAACCGGGCACTGGGGCAAACCCGGCCACCATGGTGCTGGGCCGGGAGGACGGGCTGCAGAGACACTCGGAGGAGGAGGAGGCTGATGATGATGATGAGGAGGAGGAGGAGGAGGAGGAGGGTGGTGGCAGTGGAGGGGGAGAGGAGGAGGAAGAGGAGGAGGAGGAGGATGGCGGCAGCCAGGGAGAGGAGGAGGACGAGGAGGAGGAGGCGCACACAGAGCCAGAGGAAGAAGAGGAGGAAGAGGAAGGGCACAGTGAGCAGGATCCAGAGAGCTCAGAGGAGGAGGAGGAGGAAGACGAGGAGGAGGAAGGAGAGGCCGAAGGTGGGCAGGGGCCATTGGGGACCGGGGGGCGCCAGGGCAGCCGAGCAGACCCCCCTGCCCACAGTCGAATGGCCACGAGGTCCCGGGAGAATGCCCGGCGCCGGGGCACCGCTGAGCCTGAGGAGGCTGGGCGGCGGGGTGGGAAGCGGCCGAAGCCCACTGGAGTGGCCCCTGCACCCGCCCGTGGGTCACCAGCCACCGACGGGCTGGGGGCCAAGGTGAAGCTGGAGGAGAAGCAGCACCACCCATGCCAGAAGTGCCCACGGGTCTTCAACAACCGCTGGTACCTGGAGAAACACATGAACGTGACCCACAGCCGCATGCAGATCTGCGACCAGTGTGGCAAGCGCTTCCTGCTGGAGAGCGAGCTGCTGCTGCACCGGCAGACGGACTGTGAGCGCAACATCCAGGTGGGCCTCAGGGCGGGTTCCCACACCCCACCTTGCTGGCGGCACTGCCCAGGTGGTCTGCGGAGACCAGCCCAGGAAGGAAGGCAGGGCCCAGGTTCTCAGGGATAGTACTGGGAGTTTTCTGGGAGAGGTGGGCAGAGCTGGGCCCTAACATGGAGAGGACAGGCATAGACAGTACCCTTGGCCAGAGTAGCAAAGGTGAATGTGGACATGGGAGGATGTGAGCAGAGAACTGAGCACATGAGGCCATGGGACAGCCAAGTCTGAGGAGCATCGAGTCAGTGTTTTAATAAATCCTGAGGGCTGCAGAAAGGCCATCCGGGCCGTCTTATATGGTTTCACAGGTTGTGCACTGCACATAAGTACACATGAAAGAAAGGTTTGTCCAGTAGAGCACTGTGCAGATCAGGGGACAGACCAGCCAGGGAAACACCTGTACTCAGCTCCTCGGCTGAGGAAAAAGGGATAAGAAGTTTGGGAAGAGCAAGGCCTGCTGGGGTCAAGCTGGAGAGCTGGGCTGGTTGCCAGGTCTTGTCCAGTATGAGTCTGTGCCAGTCTAATTCCTTAGGGTGGGTGTGGCACAGGGACAGCCCAGTCCCCCCATGTGGCTTTTACCTTTTCTGGCCCAGAAGGGGGAGAGGAAGCAGTAGGTACTAATTGCCTGTGCTAATTGCTAATTGCAGTGCCCCGAGGAGACAGCACTGTTTGGGAGTGAAGCTGGGACCTGGCCCTACTCCTATGCACCTGTTCCTACTTGCCTACCCCCAGGCTGCCCTTTGGCTCTACCTGCCGCACACCTGAGCCCCCTCCCCACCTGGGGATCCTGACAGCCAGCATCCTGGCCTAGCCATGAGTGCTCTGGGTGCTTTGCAGGGATGGGTAGGGCAGGGTCCAGTGGAACGGCCCCTCTGTGGCCTGGTAGGACTTGGCGCCTCTGCCTCGGGCAGGCCTCCCTGGCTGACCCCCTAAGGACCCATCCTCTGGGGGATGGATCTCCATGGTGTCAGAGCCAGGTCCCATCCAGGGCCAGCAGTGATCATGCCTCAGCTCTGTCGGGTCGCATCCTGAGGGGCTTCCCCATGAGCTGTGGAGCTGCCCACCTCAGGCAGCCCTTCAGCCAGTGGGATCTCCCCTCTGCAGAGAAGCTCTGTCCCCTGAGCACAGAGGGGTTCCTCCTGGAAGAGGTGACTGAGGGAAGGAGGAGGGCCCGGTGTGACCCTGGGGGTGTGAGCCAGCAGGTGGTAGGGAGGGCCGGTGGCAGGGTCGCCTCCCAGCTCTGGTGGGATGCAGGCCAGAGAGGGGCATCTTGTCCACCCCCATAGGGTCCTGATAGGGACCCAGGGCCTAAAGTCCTCTCACCCTGCAGTGTGTGACGTGTGGCAAAGCTTTCAAAAAGCTCTGGTCCCTTCACGAGCACAACAAGATCGTGCATGGCTACGCGGAGAAGAAGTTCTCGTGCGAGATCTGTGAGAAGAAGTTCTACACCATGGCCCACGTGCGCAAGCACATGGTGGGTAAGTCCAGGCTGGTGAGGTGCAGGCTATGGAGAGAGGAGGCTCAGCTACTAGGTGTGCTGGGCAGGACTTTCCATCCAGGCGGATGGGAGGACTCCAATTGGAGGATAATGTGAAGGGGTAAGGAGGCCCTTCTCAGCTGGAAGCTTGGGAGGCTGCTGTGACCTAGACAGGCTCTGGAGCCAGGGGTTTTATGTACAGTTGGCCAGGTTGCTTATTGCACAGGATGGTTGGATAAAATGGCAGGTGAAAACTGGAATCCAGCTGGCATGCTGCTAACCAGGCTGTGTGTCCTGGCAGGGGGTTATGTCCACCTAAGGAAGGGAACACCTTTTTCTAAATTATACAGAGTGCCACATGGACAGGCACAGGTCCTCTCTCGGTTTCACAGCAGCTGTGCCTCTGATTTTTTCTCAACTTCTGGCCCTCACAGGGCTTCAGTCTTCTCTGAATGCAACCTCCCCCAGGGCTCACACCTGGACACAGTAAGGAGGCCCCTTGGGTGTGTGTTGGCCACCCCATTGCCTTGGGAAAGGCTGCCCACTCCCTCTAGGTGGGCCTGGCTGGGTGCCTAGTGACCATATGGCCCTCCCTACCTTGACTAGTCTGGGCCCAGGGTTTGAGAAAGGGTGGTCAAGGTGGAGCGCAGGTCTGTGGCCAGGCCCTGCTCCATTTCTCCACTGGAGAGTCCTGGGGGCCTTCCATTGTGAACTAAGGGAGGTACCCCTCACCCCCAGGGTCTAAGCCAGGAGCATGCTGGGTAACCACGAGGCTTAGTGAGCTCTGAGCTCAGAGGGTGGGAGTGGAGGCTCTTCTCTATCACCAGTTGCCTCCTCCCAGATCGTCTTTGAAAGGTGTTTTGGACCTCATCCATCCACAGATTTGGTGGGTTACTATTGAGGTCCAGAGGCTGGGGCCTTGATGCATGCCATCTCTGGTAAAGCCTGCGGTCCTTGGAGCTCAGTGCCACTGTCAGTCCCCAGGAATGGGTGGTGGTGCGGGATGCCCCAGGAAGTGGGGTGTGGCCCAATGCGGGGGTGCTCAGGCAGGCCCCTGAGATGTGACGGCCATGGTGCCCACCTCCAGCCCACACCAAGGACATGCCCTTCACCTGTGAGACCTGTGGGAAGTCCTTCAAGCGCAGCATGTCCCTCAAGGTGCACTCCCTGCAGCACTCGGGGGAGAAGCCCTTCAGATGTGAGGTGAGCACATGTCTCCTGCCTGTCCTGCCCAGGAACCATCCAGGAGGGTGGGGATCCCAGCAGCTTAATACCAGAGGTGTGTGTGTGTGGGGGGGGGACAGGAAATGGAATGCAGGAACCAGAGATGCCCCGCCCTCTGATGGCAGGGCCCCTCCCCTGCTCCACCCACACCTTGCCTTTTCCCCACCACGGCCCTGCCCATGTTGGGGGTTGGAAGTCTGTGGGCTTGGGGGATAGGTGGGCAGGAGAGGTGGAGAAAGGAGCCTCCCTGCTGGGAGGACAGATGGAGATGCAGAGCTGCAGGTGGGATGCGGGCCCTTGGGAGAGGAAGGATGAGAGGCTTTGGGCTTTATGGCTGGGACCCTCTGCTGTTTCTGACCCCTGATCTCAGCCTGACTCCTGCATGCCCTTGGCCTCCCCTAGTACTGCCTCAGCGCCTCACCTCCTTGGCCAGGAGCCCCTGCCCCATGTCTGTCTTTGGCGCTGGGGCCAGGGGTAGCTGGTCCCTCCCTGAAGGCTGCTCTTCTCTGCCCCGGGCCTCACCCACCCCTACCCCCAGAACTGCAATGAGCGCTTCCAGTACAAATACCAGCTGCGGTCACACATGAGCATCCACATCGGCCACAAGCAGTTCATGTGCCAGTGGTGTGGCAAGGACTTCAACATGAAGCAGTACTTTGATGAGCACATGAAGACCCACACAGGTGAGGCCGCCCCCAGGGGTGGGCTGGACCTGCCCCCTTCTCAAGATGCCTGAGATGGCCTTGGCCGTGCTCTTCTCAACTCTGGGTCTCAGTTTCCCATTCTGTATGAGGCTCAGCAGGGCATCCTTCCCTCTGCCCAGGCTTGTGTGAGGCTTGGCACAAAAATGATCCTAGGTGGGGAGGACCCGAGAGTGCTGAGGTTGTCCCCCCCGGGGTTCGATGGGGCAGAGAAGCTGGCCCAGGCTTGGGCATGGCGACCACCCCTCCACCCCCGTGACACCGTGCTGCCCACCCCAACCCCAGGGGAGAAACCTTACATCTGCGAGATCTGCGGCAAGAGCTTCACCAGCCGGCCCAACATGAAGCGGCACCGGCGCACGCACACGGGCGAGAAGCCGTACCCGTGCGACGTCTGCGGCCAGCGTTTCCGCTTCTCCAACATGCTCAAGGCCCACAAGGAGAAGTGCTTCCGTGTCAGCCACCCGCTGGCCACCGACGGGTCCCCGGCCCCCGGCCTGCCCACTGCCCCGCCCGCGCACACGCTGGCCCTGCTCCCGGGGCCACCGCACCTGCCACCTCCGCCACCACTCTTCCCCACCACGGCCCACGGCGGCGGCAGGGTGGACGCCAACAACTGACCCAGCGCTCCTGCGGGACCTGGAGCCCAGGGCTGCTCCAGGAGGGACCCCGCTGCCCTCCCCTCCTTCCTGGGGCCGCTGCCCCGGAGGCCCTGACCCCGAGGGGCGCGCAGGCTGGCAGCCCCCCAGAGCTGGTGGAGGACACCTCACTCCGAAGTGCCCCCCTTTCTGCAACTTTTTGAAGCCTTTACTTTTTTTTTTTTTTTTTTGAAAGTGAAGGATAAAAGATAGTTTGCAGCACCCCCTCCAGGTGAGGGGGGTGCTGGAGGCAGCAGGTACAGTGGGAGGGAGGGGCCTGAGCATGAGCCGCAGGTATGGCTGGTCATGGCTCTGAGTCCTGAGCCAGGCTGGGCCTAGGTTAGCCTCAGTAATTCATCCTCACCTCCTCTGGGCCCCTAACTTGCCCCATCACCTTGGAGGCTTTGGGGAGAAGTTGGAGTATCAGCTCCCCCTGGAGAAGTTGTGCACCCGATCTGAGGGCTGTGGACACAGAGGCAGGGCCTTGAGACTGGACATCTGTGAGCATGTGGGATGGGAAGTAGCCAGGTGCAGACCCAGTTCTATTCCCTGTGTAGTACGCCAGGTGGGGGCTGGCCCCCAAGGATTTGCTTTACTCATTTATACCCTTGCTATCAGGCACAGAGATCCCCAACCTGCACCACACGGCACCCGGGGCCCCAAGTCTGGGAGGTGTCCCAGAGTTGCTGGACCTCAGTTGCTGTGGGCCAGGCCCTGGGTAGGCAGACAGGCTGACTTTCTGCAGCACCTTCTCACTGGGGTTGCAGTCAAGGAGTCCCTGCAAATGGCTGAGACCCCAGGGGCAGGGCCCCAGGAGGCTTAGGCAAACATTTTAGGGTTCCAAGGTGCTATCAGTGGGGAGGGGAGAGGGCTACTGTTCATAGAGCACCCCTGTCCTTTCCCAGCTACCCTGGCTATATTACCTACACCAGGAGACGTGCACATATGTCTGAGTCTGTCAGCTCCCCAAAGGCTAGCTCCAGGCCTCATCCCCTCCCTAGGCCTAGCCACAACCTGCCCAGCTGGCTCCTTGCCCCTCCAGGGTCTCTGCACTGATGGGTGGGCACCCACAGACCTGCCTGTGAGAGGAGCCTGCATGTTCAGGCCCTGGGGGAGCCCAGCCTGTACCCAATGCTTGCCCCAGGAGGCAGGCACTACTAATAGGATACCTTTTTTTGTTGTCATTTAACGTCTTTATTCCTACCTTTAAAAGTGGGAGGAAGGTTCCATAAGCTACATGTTTCCTAGTTAAGCTCTTTCCTATTGTGTTTCTTAGATTTTTGTTTGTTATACTCTTTGCACCTTACACCCCCAATTCTCCCCCCACACCACCCACCACCTTCCCAGTACAGCTGGAGTGGGAAGAGGCCTGGGCCCAAGGGACTGGTAGAGGAACTGAACCCCTCTGACCTTCTTGGAGGCCCATGGCGCGGGGGGGCAGAGGGCTGGGGACATTTTAATCATCAATAAACGAAGCACTTTATTCTGTACAGATGTGGGCAGGCCCAAGGTGCCCGAATGATTTGAGGATCTATAGTCCAAGCCACACCACGCTGGTTATTTTGGGCTTGGAGGGGCAATTCCTGCAGCTTCCCGGTGCTTGGGCCCTTCCCTGGCCTGGCCGAGTCTGAGACTGCTGTTGGAGCAATACCAACCAGAGTCTATAGATAGACCCTCAGGCACCCCTGTGTGTCCTCTGGGAGAGAAGCCCCTTCCTGGGGATGAGGTTCCAGCAACTTGCAGAGTCAGGGCTGAGCCTTGCAGCCTCCTGTTTTACATAGCTTTTCTTCCTCCCCCATCCCCCTTGATCTCTGGGCTTCCGTGATGTCCTCAGGGTCCCCTTCCCTCCCACTTGTTATTTCTAACCTCTGGCCCCAGTGCCTGGCAGCTCTTTAGAGCTGGCTCACATTTCCCCCCAAAAGTGGATCTCCCCATGTGGGCTGTAGGCAGGTACCCCATGGCTTCTCCAATTCATCACTGGCACTAGGGTCTTCCATGGCCCTCCTTCAGCCCGCGTCGACCTGCAGTCTGTCCCGCCATATTTTAGCAATCAGAGGTCAAAGGCAGGGAAATAGCAGAGAAACCGTGTGCCAGGAGCTGGATTTCCTGGTCTTGTACGTGTCCTCTGTAGAGGTAGGCAAGGGGGTCCAGGCAACTGGCTGGGCACTTGTCAAAATGGTCACTGTAGCTGTAGGTGGGCATGGCCAGCCCCTCTCCTGGGAGGCCCTGTGTTCCTGGTGCTAAACGTTGTCTTCATCTTGGGCCCGTGTTGAGGGGAACACCTTTCCGGTCAGACCACAAGGCCAGAAGCAATAATGGAACCTCAGCAGTGCCGGTGTGGATTGGGGTTCTCGTTTTATCAGCCTTTAGTTTTCTTTTTAAGACAAATTGCTGAGTACCCAGGTGTTGGTGTGAGGGGGCTGGGGAAAGGGAGGCTGGGGATCATCACCTGGGGTGGAACTGCTGGGATTCCTCTGTGCAGCTGGTTTTTTTTTCAGTCTGTTGGACCAGATCTCAGGTGGCAGAGCCTGGGCCTGCCACCGCCTCGGCTTCCCTGGGAACTGTGGTCTTGGGCCAGCTGTGGGGGATGGTGAGCGTGAGAGGTGGGCCTCCAGCCCCTTGACCACAGTTCTAGGAGCCAGGACTGGGCTCAGAACCTGAGCCTGTGACCCTGGCTTGTGCTGCCACAAGCTCCACAGTGCCCTTCACAGGGGCCTAGGTGTGGGTGCCCTGCAGCCCCAGAATGTGGGGGACAGCAGGGTGAGAGTGAGAAGAGCGAAGGGGAATAAAGTCAGTACAACTCCTGTCCCTTGGCCTTTTTCTTTACACCTTGCTGCCCCGCTGCCCCGAGCAAACGCAACACGTCATCCAGCAGCTTGGCATGCAGGCTCCGCTGGCATCTGTGCCCTGGAGCACCGAGGGCCTCATCTCCCTCCTGTCAGCATGGGCTCAGCTTCACAGAACCCCAGAGCTGAGGCAAGGGCTGGGTCAGATAAGGAGGGGCCTGAAAGAGGACAGGTCCTGGGGCTGCTGAGGTCCTAGCAACAATGGCAATGTCCACAGGAAGCCAGGGCCCTGCCATGTAGTTTCCCATGAGCACCAGGCATGGAGCCCCAGGATGGCAGGGACCAGTGTCTCCCATCCGTGTGCTCAACCCCAGGGGTGCTCTATATGAACCTATCCCTCTCTTGTCCCTTCAGTCCCTGGGGACCTCTGAGGATTATTTTGTTGCACAGCTAATATATGTAGCATGCTCTCTGTGCTAAATGGAATCCTAGGTCCTGGGGACATACAGTAAATGAGACCCTAACCCCTGGATACATATAGCAGGGTCAGACAGGACCTCCCGGGACTGGGAGAGAAGTGTGTGGGCAGGTCCAGTGACAGAGAGAAGGCAAAGGATCCCAAGAGCTTGATGTTGCCTTTGCATAGTCCCATTTGTTTGAAAGCCACAACTTCAAAACGAGGCTTGCCAAGATGCCTGGGAACTTCTGGTGAGGATTCTTTATCTGTGTTTCTCCTCTCTCGTCTCTCTACACATCCTTTTTCCTTTAGCTGTCTGTCCTCTGCCCCTGACCCCACCCTTCTACCTGCTACTATTTTCACAATAGTTCCAACTTCACATTCCACAGAGCCTTGGGCTCTCACTGGGCCACGGCAGACTGCTGGGTGGCAGTGGGTTGCGAGTGGTGGCCGCAGTGGTCAGCATAACTCGAACACTCACCTTCACCCAGTTTTGCCCTTTGGGTCCACGCAGCTCACAGACCCCTCTCACCCAGAAGCCTAGGTGAGAACAGCAAGGGCCCCTGGGGGAGGTTGAACTTTCTGTCCTAAAGCATGGTAGGCAGCCATGAGAAAGGACGTGCACCCACCCCCCCACCCCCCGCCTTGGGCCTACACCCCAATTATGTGGCTTTGAGAGCCATGGCTGGTAAAGAAGCGGTCAGGCTGGGTTCTGCTGTAGTGACAAACTACCTCCACATCTCAGAGGCTCAATGCCCCTGGCTCAGGATGCAGCTCCAGAGCAGGAATTCTCTACAAGGAAGCTCTCTGTGGATCCATCATGTTGACAGAGTGATTAGAGCCAGGGAGGACACAGGCCGGGGAATGACACCTTGACCTTTCAGGGCTGCCATCCAGAGGTGGCTTAAGAACACTTCTGCTTGTCTATCATTATCTAAAGTTCCATGGCCATGCCTCAGTTCAAGGGGATGTGGAGATGCACCCCTGCTGAGTGCTCATCCTGGAAACACGGATGAGCAGCAACATGCTCTCCAGCGGCCAGGCTGCTAGGTGGCCAGCCTGTGGAGCAGATTTCTAAAGTCTCTGGAGGGTCAGCAACAAAATGGAAGAGCAGCATCTAACAAGGCTCTGGGCAGCTGGAGGTGGAATGAACCTACTTGGTTCATCCACAGATGACAGGCTTGAGGCCTATGCAGAGCAGGGAGGAGGACGGTCCATCCATCCTCTAACCATATCTCCAGGGAAGAAGCAGCAGCTCGGTTGGACGGCTTCTTGAGCCTATCTTCTCACCCTTGCCTGAATCCAGCTGAGATAGAGCCTCTGGAAAACCCTGTGGCCAAACCTATCCCCATGCACCCTGAGGCCTCTGCCAAAGACAGCAGCTGTCACAGACTGAGAACACTGTACAGTCACCCCTTACCCTGCAACCTTCGGAAGTGTCAGAATCTAAGAGTGTAGGCTCAGAGAAATAAAGCCTCAAAAAGCAGTGGATCCAGGACTTGAGTTCAGGTCTGTCAGGTACCAAGGCCACATTCTCTAGGCACTGCACAAAGCCCCTTCCCCTCTGATCGACACAGAGCTGGGCCCATGGTGGTATTCAGGAGAACCAGGGATGTTTGCAAACAATGGAGCCCCTCTAGCTAATTTAAGCAGAAAACAATTTTATGGAAGGCATCAATTAAATCTGAACAGAACCAGAGACTTAATCTCTGGGGGTGTTGTGGCACCTCCTCCTCCACCGAAAATCTGAGCTAAGCTTCTCCAAAAATCTTCACCATAATTGATTTTAGGACTATCAGCAAAAAGTCTCTACAAAAGAGTTCAATGTAAGTGAACTTCCTATTTTCCTGTTGCTCTATTTTACTTGGCTACTGGCCTGGAAGAAATCAGCACTCCAGGTGCTGAATGCCTCTTTACTAGTTTTTCACAAACATTTATTCAGTATAGTAGTTTGTAGAAATGTGTTTGCAAATGCGAAATGTGATAATAAAAAGATAAATCCTTTAACAAGGCCTCTGGCCTTGAGCTGAGGCTTCACAGAGATGTCTACATTCTTAAGATAAGAGAAGTTACCAATTGGGCTCCTTGGTAACAGCGGGCAGGGGGAGGAAAGAAAGGGGAGAAGAAGCTCTCCCCTTCTCAGGTGTTGTCCTTGAAGGGTTTACTTACCCAGAATAGTGAAAGAAAAAAAAACAAAACTGCTTTTATGTGAACTTCTACAGACTGTGAATTTCTGAGCCCCTCCTCTTACACACTGAGTATAAAGTTCTGAAACTACCTGAACTTGGGGTTCAGGGGATTGATTGATTACAACGAAAGCTATGCCCTCTGAACCTGGCTGCAGCAAAATAAAACTGTTTCCTGCTATCTTTGGTGCTCTGCCTCGTCTGTCTCCTACAACAGGATTACATAGTCAAGAACAAACCCAAACTACTCTCCAGGACTTGCCCCGGGGGGTGCAGGTGCCTCACCCACTTGAAAGTAATGGTACCATGGGCTGCACACAGGAAGCTGTCTTAGCTTGCCCCATCTGAATCCAAGTCTCACATGGGAGTATCTAATTGACAGATCCAGGTCACATGTTTATACCGTAGCTGCAAGGCAGGCTGGGAAAGAGAGTTATGCTTGGACAGGTGGTGCTCACAAGGCAGTTCATTCCCAATCAGAACAAGGCTGTCTCAACCTGTTGGGTGCCAGGAACTGTAACATGAAACCACCATCTAGCATCTTACTGCCCAGTGGCAGCAAAATCCTCCTCCATACAACAGGAACAATATTCACACCCACCAAAAGGGCTCTTGACTAATAACCTTCCTCATAGAAATAAGAACAGATCCATCTTCTCCCCAAAAGGGGACCATGTAATTTCTCATTGCGAACTGTGTCTATCTCCAAACCCAGAATCTGCTGGCAATCGCTGCTCCTATTCTAGCTCAACTGTGATCCTGTTTCAGTGTTTAGAAATGTGTGGACTCTATTTAAATGTGAGCACCACCAACCAGACCCTTTATAAAGCAAAAGGGAAAAGGGAGGAGGAAAGAAAACTCATTACGATAAATACTTAAAATAGCTAAGCTACGGAACCAACATAAGTGCCCTCAACAGATGAGTGGATAAAGGAAATGTGGTATATATACACAATGGAATATTGCTCAGTCATAAAGAAGAATGAAATTATGGCATCTGCCAGTAAATGAATGGAACTGGAGACTATCATGATAAGTGAAATTAGCCAATCCCCCCAAAAAAACCAAAGGCTGAATGTTCTCTCTGATATGCACATGCTAACACACAGTAAGCAGGTGAGGGAAGGATAGGAGTTCATTGGATTAGACAAAGGAGAATAAAGGGAACGGAGGGGGGATGGGAATAGGAAAGACTGTGGAATGAACTGGACATAACTCTACTATGTTCATTTATAAACACATGATCAGTGTAACTCACATCATGTACAATCACAAGAATGGGAAGTTACACTCGATGTATGTATAATGTGTCAAAATCCACTCTACTGTCATATATATATCTAAAAAGAACAAATAAAAAAAAATTTAAAACAAGATAAACACTTAACTCTTATCCAGTGAGATGTTAATTTTAGTTGTCATCTTGACAGAGCTAAGGGATGCCCCGGTTGCCCCAGGGAGGTGCAGCTGAAAAAAGAAAATCCTCACCAATGTGGGTGGGCATCATCCATTCCACTGAGGGCCCAGACAGAACAAAGAGGCAGCAAGGGCTGGAGGTGTGGCTCAGCGGTAGAGTGCTTGCTTGCCTCCCACCTGCCAGCCCCTGAGTTTGATCCTCAGCACCACATAAAAATAAATAAGTGAAATGAAGTATTGTGTCCAACTACGACTAAAAAAAAAAAAAATTAAAAAAATGCAAACTGTGATAATAAAAAGATAAATCCTTTAACAAGGCCTCTGGCCTTCAACTGGAGCTTCACAGAGATGTCTACATTTCTAAGATAAGAGAAGTAACCAATTGGGTTCCATGGTAACAGCTGGCAGGGGGAGGAAAGAAAGGGGAGAAGCAGCTCTCCCCTTCTCAGGTGTTGTCCTTGAAGAGTTTACTTGCCCAGAACAGTGAAAGAAAAAAAACAAAACTGCTTTTATGTGAACTTCTACAGATTGTGAGCTTCTGAGCCCCTCCCCTTACACACTGGGTATAACGTTCTGAAACTACCTGAATTTGGGGTTCAGGGGACTAATTGATTACAGCGAAAGCTATTGTGTCCAACTATAACTAAAAAATAAATTTAAAAAGAGGCAGCAAAAGCACAAATTCTAACTCTGCCACGGCTGGAATATCCATCTTCTCCTCCGTCCTTGACCTTCAGTCCTGGTTCTCAGGCCTCTGGTCTTTGGCTGAGAGTTAAGGCATTGGCTCCTTTGGTTCTGAGGCCCTTAGACTGAGCCCAGAAAATACCCCTGACTCTCCTGGGTCTCCAGTCTGCAGATGGCAGGATGCGGGACTTGTTAGCCTCCATAGTCATGTGAGCCAATTTCCATAACAACCCCCCCCCCCCAATATACATACGTACCTTATATATTTCTGATTCTC